AGAGCCTGCCTCAGGGAGGGATTCAGGCGCTGGATGTCAGAGCAAGACAGAGAGATCAGATGAGTGGCTTGTTGAGTCACTTGACAAACACTTTCTGTAGGCTCAGGCCTGAGGCCTCAGGTGAGCTGGAGTCAAGCCTATAGACAAGTTGTTCCCCGGTTACAAATAACAGACTGAAAGCCAGAGACAGGAAGTGGCTGCCCCTGCATCACACAGCCACGTAGGGCCCGAGCTGTACTTGAACCCAAGCCCAAGGTACGGTTACATCGCACTACAACCAGGGCTCCCACAAGACCAGGGTCTGGAGGAGGCTGGCGCCACTGCTGCAACGGCTTGGTCTCATCTGAAATTAACACCGGATGCCTTCTAGAGACCTTCAACAAAAGCATCACCGGAGGGCTGGGGATTTAGCTTGCAAGCAGGCAGTTGTGAGTTTGATCACCGGTACCAACAAAAAGGAAAAAGACAAAAAAAAAAAAAAAAAAAAGCATCACCAGGCCCTGTGGCACACATCAGTAGTCCCAACATTTGGGAGGCTGAGGCAGGAGAATCGCCGTGAGTATAAGGCCAGGCTAGAGTACACAGCAAGACCCTGTCTCAAAAAACCAAAACAGAATTGAGAAAGTGTTCAGACTCTGAGTCTAAAACTGAAAGGACCCCTTGAGACACACAGAGGGTACAGCAGCACTGTTATGTTTAACTCTCAAGGTGGTTCACACCCAAACAGAGAGAGCTCCTCTCCGGCGCAGTCCTGGGCCTCACTCCAGGACCAGTTTGTGTTACTGTTTCCCAGCAAATGTCAACACAGGCTCCAGAGTAAGTCGACACGGGTCTGTAAATGCCAGGCTTCTTAGCAGAGCAAACTGAGGCTGGGGTCCTCTTCAAAGGACCCGTGCTGAGTGAACAGGAGAGAGGTGTCACCTCCAACAACAGAACACAACAGAGGTGTGCAAGTGCCCATCACAGCAGGGTCACAGCTCCTCAGAAACCCTGCCAAGGTGAGGAAAGGGGGCCAGACGGGTTCTCTTGCCACTGTCAGACAACCTTCTCCCAGTTCCACTTTCCCTGATGAGGGGCCTCAAAGAAAGGAGGACTTGAAAATCATCCCATTTCCTCTCAGATGCCCAGAAACTACTGTCTGGACCTCACAGGGCAGAGCTGTGTGTTTAAAGCCCACTGGCAGCCACAGTGGCATAGGCCTCTAATCCCAGCACACCGGGAGGCTGAGGCATGAGGATCGTGCAAGTTCGGGAGACCAATTTCAAAACTTTAAAAGATACAAAGAACTGGGCTGCAGCTCTGCTCGACGACTCTGGATCTCTTGAAGACCTGTCTATCCCCGCTGCCCCCGCCACCAAGAAAACCGTAAGGAAGCAGCCCGGATGGTGGCAAGTCTGTTGTGACAGTGGCGAGCATATATTTTTGTGCCAAGCGGCCTCTAACTCTCCTCCCTAAATGCTGATGCTCATCAGTACCACCCTGGGTGGCAGCTAACTGGACAAGGCGAGTCGCCCCTGAATTGGGTACCGCTTCCCTGACGTTTCTATTATATGAGCTTCTCCATTTCCCAAGGAAAGAGACCCCACAGTCTGAACTTTTTTTTAACTCTTCCAACCCATAAACACGTTTGCTTCAAAACCAGCTCAGGTCCAGTTGCTGACTTAAAATCATCTCCAATCAGTGTTTGCCATAAGGGGGGAAAAAAAACCCTCCAAATGTTCCACTGCTAACTTAATTTCTGGATTCCTTTCCTGTTTCTCAGATGGGTTGGAAAACACAGATCAAAGGACAAATACACAGTAAAGTCAACAAAAGAGCCGCAGAACAGTTTCTGTAATCAGTACCAAGTCAAGTGGGAGGCAGTGAGCGCATCTGCTCGGGTCAGGATAGCTGCTGGGACCAGGCATCGAGCCTGGTGCTGCCTAGTGTTAGAGTCACAGAGAGAAGGGACACAACTTTCTCCTGGGCCTGGCTTTACCAGATTCCGTTCAGACAGGGTCTCACACAATTCCATCCAGCTGGCCTCATGGCAATCCTCCTGCTTCTGCCTCCTGAGTGCTGGGATTACAGCTGTGCACCACCACACCCAGTTTATGAGAACTGGTTTTTTCCCACGACCTCCACAAGTTTCATGATCCAAGAAGGAGCGGTTTCCATGCGGCTGCTTCTTCCAAGGGCGCTGGAGGAACGCAGAGCCAGAAGTTGGTTGCACAAAGGCTCCAGGGCATCAACTGTTTTCAGACAGGAAGTGAACTCCAGCATATCAGAAAGGCCTGCGCTGGGAGTCACAGGGCCAGCGAGGCCACGTGAGTGCACTCGGTTTGCTCGTGGCTGGGTTGCAGGGGGCACACAAACAAGCCTTCCCACCTGGCTGTGGGCTGGCACTCACTCCTTGGTAACCTGACTTTGGGCACCACAGGAAGGGCGCTCTGGAAAGAGAGCCTGCCCAGGCAGCCATTCCCTCGATTGGCCACTGGGGGCAGCATCGAACCAGTGTCCACGAGGCAACAACTCCATCCAGCAAATTTACAACTCACCAGTTTAATCTTCTCAGGGCGGAAAATCCGACATTTGAGCTTCCTCATATTTAAAAGGTGCTTAGACAAAACAGCCCCCTTAACAGTAATAATTATTAATTCCCTTCTTAATTTTCAAACATCAGTCTATCACAGAAGAGCAAAGTAACATTTTTTGCGGGGGACAAGATTCTCATTAGGTTGCCCAACCCGGTCTCAAACCCATGTTGTGCTCAAGTGATCCTCCTGCCTCAGCCTCCTGAGAAGCCGGGACTACTACTGTGCACCACCACCATCCGTAGCTATAACACTTTCTGAACAAGAACTAGGTGCAAGAAATGTATTATTTAATTCCACAAAAAAATCTATGAAACAGGTGCCATCAGAATCCACCCCACGCCGAGGGACATGAAGCCATGGTTAAATTCCTCTGGATCACACAGCCTGTTTAGTGGCCATGAGATCGGAGTACACGGGAGAGGTGTGGCATTGGCGCTGTCTAACCCTGCACCCCAAGTTTCTGTGGGCTCTTACAGCAGGGGAAGACACTGATGTGGCTGGGCATGGCTTGTCCTCAGAGCCTCACATCCCAGAATCTTGGGCTTCCGGCAGGCTGTGTTAGGGGTCAGGCTCTACAGGGGCATCCCGGTGGGCACCAGAAGCCCTTGCCACGCTCTCCTCATGAACACCTGTACTTCAGCCTGCTGACGGCCGCTGTCTCAGGAGCTGCACTCGGGGGAACACAGCCACCATTGTCTGCCCACCTGGCATGAGGAACAGCAAAGTGTGTGCACGTGTCCAAGTGTGAATGGCTGAGTTTTATCCACATTATGTGCTGTTACATTTTTGTGTACCTTCATTTTTTAACTTCGTTTTCTTTTGATTTTTCTTTTAGAATTAGCCCAATCCGGTGCAATATTGCCTGAAAATCCATTTTGACAGCTTCAGCAGACGGCTCCATGTCCATCACTTAGGTCTTGTAAGCAGGTAAACAGTTGATATTGAAAATGTTTAAACGCCTAGTAACATTGTTTTATTTTCCTATTAAACATTAGTAACTCATAAAACAAAAATTCATCAATAGAACTTCTCCTAAAACATTAATGTGGACTTTACACAGACCCCATCCACACCTTCCACAATACTTACCCCCTGGTGAACTCAATGAGCTCACAAGGCATTCACGAGGTCATGTGAGGCTGGCTCTGCACCCCTCAATCGCACTCTTGCTCTGCAGCAGCCCGGACCTCCCTGACCCTCTTGCACATGCCAGTCACCAAACCATAGTTGGACAAGCTATCACTACAGATGGGGCCACCCAGACCTGAGCTCCCTGCCTCCAACACTGAGCTAAATTACCTTTCTAAAACAAGACTAAAAAGCAGTAAGGTATCATGTATAATTACAAATTCCCTATGATTAATGTTACCATTATGTGTACCTAAAACAAACCAGTGAAATAAAAGTTAAAAACTAAAACACATTACCAAGGGCCTAGCTGGGTATGGTGGTACACACCTGCAAAACAGAATTCAGGAAACCCACACAAGAGCACTGCAAGTTCAAGGCCAGCCTCAGCAACATATCAAGATGGGTCTACTCTCCAAAACAAAAAAATAAAGAACCTAAACTACACAGTGAGACCACATCTAAAAAAAAAAAAAAAAAAAAAAAAAAAAAAAAAAAAAAACCTAAGTACAGAAATACACAGCAAGAAACCAAACCTGGTTGGAAAGGGTGGCGTATAGGAGCCTGGAACAGCCAGGAGCCAGCCTCAGGGGTCTGTCCCTTGGACAGAAGTCAAGTGATATCTGTGTACAATGTTCCAGCATGTCAGCTTCTCATGGTGCAGGAATCAGAAGTGGAGCTGGCTTTTACAGCAGACTGATATAATGGCATTTCTATCCCTGTGTCTAATGGGTCTAATACAACCTTCAGATTTCTTTGGGTTTCCCGTTGTACTGATTTTTTTACAAGGATGTATCAACCCCAAGTACTACTGTTCAGTGAGGCTCTAGCATTCCAGATGTCTCCCACCACCTGTGTGCAATCTCTTGGACTTTCCTAGAGTTAGGATGGGGTGGGGCCTGCTCCCTATCACTGATCTCATGCCCTCATCTAGTAAATGGAGCTAAGACCTCCTGTTCACTTTACACATTTATGAACTTAATGCTATTCAATTGGGAAAAAATGGTTACTTACCTCTAACTGGTGATTAGGGCCTTCCCTACTCCGAGATGTTCCAGCACAAGAGGCCTTCTAAAGCTTGTGCCCCCCACCCCATCCCACCCCCAAGTCCTGCAACCACAGAACTTTACACTAGAAACCTGTCAAGGGTCCTCCCACCTCCACTGAAGTCTTCATGCAAGATGATCAGGTACCTTCTTAGCACTGTTAGGCACTGAGAGACTGGTGGGGCGGTTAAGAGGAAAAAACAGCCAATCACCTTTACAAGGCAGATTCAAATACAGCAAGACCAACAGCAGCTGTTCAGCTTTTATTGAACATGTTACAAACTAAGGTTTAGTCAAAAAGACCGAAGCCCATGTCGTCGTCAGACTCCTCAGATTCTTCTTTCTTTGCTTCCACCTTCTTCTCCTCAGCTGGAGCAGCAGTGGTGGTGGGTGCGGGGCTTCCTGCAGGGGCAGCACCAGCTGCAGGAGCAGGGCCACCGGCCCCTACGTTGCAGATGAGGCTCCCAATGCTGACATTGGCCAGGGCCTGCAATGCACGGAGGCACACAGGTGAATATTAGATTCTGTCCTGTTACACAGCACTCACCTAGCAAGAACACCCCTTTCCACTTTGTTTCTCCCTCTAACTAAATTATCAGCACCATCTGGTGAGTTACGACACCAGCTTCGCACTCTTCAGAATGACTATCCTCAGCGGAAAGCCACTCTTCAATAGAGCTGTGCACCCTGTTACAGTCACCAAAAATCTGTGCAGCTTTTAACGCTTACTTAGGACTCACACAGGTGGAGAGCAGACACAAGGTTCAACTAATTGAATCTCTTCCTTTTGTATGGCTAGCCCTTAACTTTATATACACAATGTATTCATTATATATATACATGCTTGTGTATTGGGGAATGAACCCAGGGTCTCTGGCCCTGAGCTGCATTCTCAGCTTTTTAAAATTCTGAAACATGGTTTCACCAAGTTGCCCAGGCCAGACTTGAACTTGTGCTCTTCCTGTCTCAGCCTCCCTGGGATTGCAGTCATGTATCACCCGCACTGGCTTTAAAATTTCTCAGATTGTTAGCAGAGCACGGTGCCCACATACCTGTAATCCCAGCATTCAGGTAGGGCTGAGTCAGAGTCAGGAAGGAGGACTGCCCTGTCAGTCTATCTACATAGTGAGACTCTGTCTTTCTCTCAAAAGAAAAAAAGTAAAAATAAACTTTTTAAAAAAACTTTAGACTGCTAAGCAATCTAGGACCTTCTCAAAGGTAATTCATCAAATGACACAGGTGCAATACAGCCCATCTTTCCAAATCCCAGGCAGACATGACTGGGTTAGATGCTATTATTAGCTTCACTTGCTGGAGATCAAGTAACCCACAGCAGGGGAAGGTCGTAGCTACTGCAGGCTCCAAGGCCAGTAAGGAACTCTTCCTTTATTAACGTTTTTCTTTTACATATAACATACAGTGAACAGCTAACAAAAGGCCATCACATTCAATTTCCATAAAACCACATGGGCTACCACACTGCAAAATCTGTCTGGAAACTATCAGGTAACTTTTGGGCAGGAATAACCCTGGACTCAGAACAGAAAGAACAAGCCAGCACTTGGAAAACTAAGGCAGGAAGATCACCACGTGTTCGAGGTCAGCCTGAGACACTAAGCGAATTTAAGACCATCTTGAAGTACGAACCCTGTCTCAAAACACACACACCCATAATGGATGGGAAACCAAAACCTGATACCAGGAATCCATCAGACAAACTGAAACCTCATTAGCGCCTACATGTAAATGTCAAGGAACACAGAGGAGGTGAAGTAAACACACTCACACACCGTTCGGAACAGATCAGTGGGCTTCCTCAACCACCTCCCCACAATTGCCTTACCTTTGCGAACAAGCCAGGCCAGAAAGGTTCCACATTGACGCCGGCCGCTTTAATAAGAGCATTGATCTTATCCTCCTGCAATAAGCAAAACGTCAACTCAGCGTAGTTTCCCAGTCACAGCTTTACCGTCCCCAAAGTAACTGCAAACTAAAAATCAAATCGCCAAGAAGTTGTGCGTAAGGCTATCCAGACTACTCGCATTTTACGATTCATTCTAGATCCTTCCTTATAGTGCATAAGATTACTACAACCAAAACATCTGCACTGGAAGCCTCCCCAGGCGGCAGGGCCCTGGGCCACGCCGCTATTTTAATGTGAAGAGACCCGGCGCGGGCGGGGTGTGCAGAGCGGCAGCATTAGTCAGAGTGCGCGGCCTGGCACTCTAGGCCGAAGAAAGCCAAAGCAGTTACACCAAAGCCTGGGGGAGTCCGCGTACGAGTCAGGCAGCTCCAGCTCAGGATGCACAAGCCCCGCTGACCAGTGCTCCGCCAGGTCTCGGCCAGGGCGGAAGCGCTGAGCCCACCCGCCCGCTCGCCTGCTCGGAAGCCGGAAGCAGGCCGCCCCGCCAGACCCAGCCCACACTCACCGTGACGGTCACTTCGTCGTCGTGCAGGATAAGAGCGGAGTAGATACAGGCGAGCTCAGAGACGGAGGCCATGATGCGGGCTGCCGGGCGCGGTGCTAGTCGCCGGATGAAGTGAAGGGCTCACCCCAACGCGGCCTTAGCTCCCTCGGAAGAACCGAGCACCTTGGCGGCAACTGAGGAAAGAGAGCCTCGTGCTTGCGCGCACTCTCTTATACGGCCCTACGGACCAATTGGCGGCCACGCTGGGCGGAAGAGGCGGGACAAGTACGTCCGGTGCCGCATGCGCAGAACTCTAGTCTGGGTTTCCAAATTGTTTCCTAGTCTCTGCGGGAGCGTCCTAGGTCTCCTGGGTTAGGTTGGGAAGTGGGATTCGTGAACTTTAAAAATACTTCTTAGGGGGCTATCTAAGAAAACCTCTATTGGTTCCATACGCTACTTTAGTTATTAGGAGCTCTAGTGCAGTCCTGTGATGCTGTTTGGGCAATCAGTTAATTACTAATTACTTTCCTTAGCCGGCGGTGACCTGCAGGGCAGAGTCAGGTCACATCTTTGGAGGCTTTACTTGAGCCTGGGTCTCTGAAGTAGGTACAGGACGCAAATTCACTCTAACAATGTCAGTGTCAACGCAGAACTGTGAAATATGTTCTGTCATAACAAAATAGGATACAGTAGTGCATCTAAGAGAATGCGTTATATTAAATTAGTCAAAGGAAAGCCGGGGATATAGTGCATTGGCACAGCGCCTGCCTGGCAAGGTCCTGAGTTGGATTCCCGGTACAAAAAAAAAAAAAAAAAAAACCTAAAAAGAATCTGTAAAACACTTCCTATGCAGTCTGCAAACTCCTGATGAAATTCAACCATCCACATAGATTTTTGGAAAACTTGAATACCTTTCATCTCCCAATAACAGATATCTACGAAAATCTAAAGTGGTTCACAGTTCATTGTGGAACTTATAAAGCATTCTCTTTAAAATCAAGAACAAGCCAGTCGTGGTGGTGCGTTCCTATAATCCCAGCATTCTGGGAAGCTTAAGGCAGGAGGATCACAATTTCCAACCTGCCTGGGAAATTCAGCAACTTAGTGAGACCCTGTCTCACAGGCTTAAATAAATAATTGGACTGTGGGTGTAGCTCAAGACCTTGTACTACAGAATACAAAATCAGGAACAAACTATGGCCTTGTTCACTGCTTCTATTTCAGTTACCATTTTGAGTTTAGCCGTCTCTGTAAGATAAAAATGTATGAGCCAGGGATATAGCTCAGCAGTACAAGTGACTTTGCAAGTGCAAAGTCCTGTGTTTGATTCCTGGTACCACCCCCAAATATGAAGATCAGAAACAAAAGAAAGCTCATTATTGTTTACTCAGAAGTTCCATAGACAGCTTATCTGAATTGCTAGATCTAAGATTGCTATATAAACCCCACAGTTCTGTGCCTAATTATAAAATATAACATTTTAAAAAATACATCTCAGCTTGCAATGTACATTAATGGTAGAGCACTTGATCAGTATGTGGCCTTAAAGAGATGTACATGAAGGGGCTGGGGATTTAGCTCAGCCTTGTAAGCAGACAGTCGTCCCTGGTACCGATAAAAACGAAAAAGACAAAAAAAAAAAAAAAAAAAGAGAGAGAGATGTACATGAATTTTGTTTTGTTCTGTTTTTTTGCCAGTTCTAGCGTTTTAAGCCAGGACCTCGCATATGTTAAGCAGGTACTGAACAGGACTTAAACATTAAGGATCTGAAATGGGTTCCAAAAAATACACATCATTTTTGGGGGTTTTTTGATATGAGGGACTAATCCCAGGTCTTCTTAAGCTTTATCCTATGCTTTTTTTTTTTTTTTTTTTTTTTTTTTAAAGACAGGGCCTAAGTTGAAAAGTTGCTCAGTCTGGGCTCAAATTTGTAATCCTCCAGCCTCAGCCTCCCAGGACACTACTATCCTGAGTGACAAGGGATTTCCCTTAACCTTGAATGTGCACTTGGCCGGAACACCCCACCTTCACTATTAATAAAAAGATTAAATTACCATTTTTGTTACAAAAAATAAAAATCTCCGCCTCAGAAAAAATCTAAACCGGAGCAGAGGGTGTCGGGGCATGCCTATAATCCCAGCCACTGAGGAGACTGAGGCAGGATTGCAAGTTTGAGGAAATCCTGGGCTACATGGAACCCCGTTTTTTTTTTTTATCGGTACTGGGGATTGAACTCACGTCCGCCTGCTTGCAAGGCAAGTGCTTATGCCGCTGAGCTAAATCCCCAGCCCCAAGGAACACCCTGTTCTTAAAAAAAAAAAAAAAAAACAACTCTAGGCTGAGGATATAGCTCAGTGGCATAAGCACCTGCCTGGCAAGTACAAGATCCTGAGTTTTATTCCCAGTACCAAAAAAAAACAAAACAACAACAAAAAAAAACCTGCTGAGTGTATAGCTCTATAGTAGAGCTCTTGCCTTGCACGCTCACTGGCCTGGGTTCAATCCCCAGCAGCACCAAAAACAAAAAAAACCAGATTTAATCAAAGGAAAAATATGTATTCACCCAAGCAAGAATGAAAATTTCACCATCAACTTCAATATTACTGTATTTTATGTTCTCAGACCGTTTCCTCCTTAAGTGTCCAGAGCATGCCTGATATGTAGATTATCAGTTATCACTCAGAAAAGGTACTGTCCACCTACATGCAAGTCCTCTGTTTTCCAGTGCTCTGTTCATTCACCCTACAGCTATGAAGAGCCAGGTAAAGCCAGGCCTTGCACTGGATGATGGGAGAATGTCCTGAACGAAAGATCGCCACACAACATCACTTTTTTACCAGTGCTTTTTATTTCAGTTCTCTTGGTGTATGTAAGTATCACAAACAATGTTTACACACACACTTCTCACCAACTTCCTACAAGGCTTTTATCATTGGCCCCATCCCGATGTCCTTATCTTGCAAGTCTCACTTGTCAGATATGTCTAAAGTGCATTTTTGCAACTAATCGATAGCAGCATTTGAGAGATACTCAGACAAGAGCTGGGAAAGACAATAAAAAGTGAGGTGTGTTCTAGATATAATATGTGCTTCCTTAACTGCCAAGATGAACACCTGCTTAAAATACCAGAGCTGTAAGTGTACAAAAATATACAAAAGAGCATTACAAAAATAGTTCATACATATACATATATATATATATATATATATAAAAAAGGAGGAAGAATTCCTCTGCTAGTAATATTAAATACAGCAAGAGCTATAAAACACAGAGCCTCTGGATCCTGGATTTGGAACCGTGAAAGACGCTGATTCTGGGTCAGTATCTGATGTCACCAAGGCCCACCATGCTGCACAAGACAACCCAGAAGACAGCATCTGCACGTCGCTAGAGAAATCAACACAAAGACAACATTCTTTTGCTGCTGGGATAGGGAGTTCATGGTTTCTTGCGCCTGAAACAGAAAAATTAGTGTTTAGCATTGTCGTACACTAGTGACATATACATCACAAGCCAGGAGAGATTGGAAAATCGCCATTTTCTTGGGAAGCTGAACTGGGAAGGTGGTAAAATCAGGGCTAGTCTCGGCTGCGTAGTCTGTCTCAAAAACCAGAAAGACAAGGAGAATGTAAGTTGTTCCAGAAAACAGGACTTTCCATCCATACTTGTTGCAATGATTTTCCAAATGGCCCAAGGAATCCAAGTGTTTAAAAAATTGTAGCTAGGGGGCTGGGGATTTAGCTCAGTGGCATAAGCGCCTGCCTTGCAAGCAGGCAGTCGTGAGTTAGATCCCCACTACCGATAAAAACGAAAAAGACAAAAAAAAAAAAAAAATTGTAGCTCGGCAGGTGCATGCCTATAATCCCAGAGCTAGAGAGGCTGAGACAGAAGGATCACCATGAGTTTGATGCCAGCCCAACTCTGGAGCCCGTAAAAACAAAACAAAAAGAGCTTGCAGAGATATTTGTAAAAAAAGAGATTTACTAAAGTAGAGGAAAAGAGGGCTCCAGAGTATAAATTCAAGAGAAAAGATGTGATTCCTCCTCTACCGTGAACTCTTGAGATTAATTTATGTATTTAGCAAACACTGGCCCCTCTACCCAGCACAAGAAGGAAGAACCCCATGAAGCTGGCATCCCAGCTCCACCCTTTGGCTCTGCATTTGGCTTCAGAATCTCTGGTGGAATGCAACAGAGCCACCAGTCGCCCGTCCCCATCCCCTGCAGCTCCGACGGCCAACGACAGCCCTCGGGACACCCAGTGCACGCTGCAAGAAGGGCCCACACATTCTGGGGGGTCCACATTTGCCCCTGAGAACAAGGTGCTGCTGGCTGGGAGGAGTGGCAGGCACTAACCCCGGAGGAGGGAGACTCACTTGGGTTGTGCGTGGTGCTGGTACCCCGGTCCCAGCTGAGAGCCTGCTCTCATCTCCACAGCCATGGAGCACTGTGAAGAAAGACAGGACGAGTCAGCTCCTCCCCACTGAGCACACGGGCCCCCAAGGACGGAGGTCAGCATTGCTGTCCAGTGTGGCGAAAGCACCAAGGTAAAACCTCCAGCCAGGCACCTGCTCGCGCACGGTCCGAGGAGACCGAGGAGACCAGAAGGCCAGGGCGGTCATCCTGGGAACTTTTTCTCTACTGAAGGGTGAGCTCCCTAGAAGCTGGCGGCCAGGGCCAGAGCACAACATCTGGACAGCACCCACAGTCTCTCCTAGGAGCCCTGCACTCTTGCGTCTACGACCCCTCACCCTTCCACTGTTGTTCCCATTACTCCTGTGACCTCTGGCTCTGCTTTGAGAACCGTAGCCCTGCACGGAGGAGCCCTAGCAAAACACAGATGCTCTCTCGAATAGATGCCATGGGATCGGCCACAGGGTCTTTGGAAATGAGGGAGAAAAGCTGAGTGTGGAAGCACACACCTGAAGCCCCAGCACTCAGGATGCTGAGGCAGGAGGATCCTGTGAGTTCAAGGCCAGCCAGGGCTATGTGGTGAGACCTTGTCTCAGAAGCCACATCCCCCACCCCCAAAATCAGGAAGAAGTGCTGCAGGGGTGGAAAGCCCTGAAAGCCCGAAATACTTCCTGGGCAAGCGGAGACTTAGTGTCCACCCTACCCGTGTCTCTACGTCGGTCAGTTCAGACTCCAGGCCATCCGGTTGAGCAAGCGCTGCTGCCGCTGACAAACTTCGCTTTCGATTGCTGAAAAGCAACAGGACGCCACGGCTATGCGTGCATCTAATACCGAGAAAAATGCTAGGCCCAGGGAAACCCAGCTAGACCCTTACAGATGCCAAAGGGGTTCTGTTCCCCAGAATGAGCCGCTCAGACACAGGCGCCCCTCGAAGGGCCCACTCACCCGCCTGGTGACTGTTGTTTTAAGGTCTCGATACCAGTAAACTGAACAGCTTGGCCGCCACCCCTTGTTTTATACACATCACCCTGGAGCCGAGAGAAAAGGCCAGGTTACACCCAGATACAGCCATGCAATAAACACATGTAAACCGCATTTTACGTTAACTTCAAGAGCCTACTGTTTCATCCAAACTCCCACCCACAAAACCAGATGGTGGTTGGGCTGCCGAGTCTGCACAGAGCAAAGCACTTTATGGAGCGGAGTTCATCTCCCTCTCTAACAGAAGCCCAATGCAGTGTAATGCATTCCAGACTGTGGGGGGTAAAGACACTGTGAGTTTTGCTCTCCCTGTAACTTAAAAACTAAACCGCAAGCCAGGTGTGGTAACACACGCCTAACATCCCAGCAGTCAGGAGGCTGAGGCAAGGGGATTGACGGTGAGGCCAGTCTGGAGTACACAGCTAGGTCCTGCCTCAGACCAAAAGGGAGCAACAGCATGGCCATGAGCTGAGGCTCCAGAAAGCCACCAGGACCCTCTGCACATTCCCAGGTCCTGTGCCTTCCCTCCCAGCAGCAGCTCTCCCACTGGCAAACAGTGGTCATATTCTTAATTATTTCTAGTACTGCCCTCTAAACTGAATTTTAGATGAAAAAAACTTTTTTCCTAATGACTGTCTCATTTTCCTATTCATTGATTCCATGATCTTAGGAAAGAAAAATGCTATTAGATTCTCTTCTTTCCAGAAAAGGACTTTGCGTAACTAAATCTTGAGTAATTTTCAGGAGTCAGATTTGAATACAGGCTTTTCATTTTCATCAGCAGAGACACAAGGGATCTCAGTTGCTAAGCTACCCAGACTGGTCCCACCTTTGCCATTCTCCTGCCTCAGCCTCACAATCCTGCACTACCTGGCTTGACCTGGCTTAGGGTTAAGCAGATTTAGTCCCAATTTAGCAGATTCAAATGTAGGCAGTTAAATTTGCTACCAAGAAAAAAGTGACACCAAATGCCCGGCTGTGTTCCAAACTGACACTAACGTATCATCAGAATGGCAGAAGCAGGAGGCTCCTGGCTGGTTTTGCAAAGTGTGTTTGCTCCTGTGTACAGCATTTTTATTGTGATTTTTTTACCTTAATTAGCTTAGTCTCAATCTCCCCATCGGAGGCTAGTTCCTGGTGGGTCAGCATGTACTTCTCACACTTAGCTAGCGCCTTTTCACTGGGAACAGACACCGTGATGGCACGGGCCACCTGTGGCTGCATGACTGTCTCGTTGTGCACGTTAGAGGCGGGCTTATGATCTACCCATCGCTCCCCTGCAGAGCGGGATCGTCTGCGTCGGACCCCAATGGGTGGTGCGTTCTGATCAGGTTGGAGGAGGCATTGAGAAACAAGCACAGCCCAGAATTAATAGAAAGGCATTATTAGAAGTGCAGCAGGCTGGTGACATTAGCGGATGACAGTATCACAAAACAAACCGTTTCCGGAGCTAAATGTTACTGACAGAGTTAAAACACCCCTTTCCTACTTAAACACAGAACCAACACACCTCGTACATTATACATTCTACCTGGGAGTTCCCCTTCTGCCAAAGGATAAAAAGGAGATATTCTGGTAATTCTAGTGCTTCAGGGGGGTTAGGGGGCACAGCTCAAATATCTTATCTTGCACTTTTGATCAAAAGTCAGTATTTATGCCTGCTTTTGTGAGGCAGCATACAATCTATGGGATCAGAAAGTCAGTTGACAACATCAGGAAGACCAATAAACGCCCTAAACATGTCCTAGATCCCTAAGCAAGAGAAAACACTCCTTATTCAGAGATATAAACAGTAACAAAAGCTCATGAAGCTGTACATGCAAAAACACTAACAGCCTACAGTATCTCATCAGTCTCTGTCATGCAATAAAAAAGCTCCTTGCCTCCAGTCCAATGCCCTGTCAATCTGGGAAAGTTGAATTTGGCACATTCAACGTATGAAAAGCTACTCCGCACACATGACACAGTTAACAGCTTGAAGCAATTGTGTGAGCGTCTGTCTCCTGGTGATAAAAGCAAATGGGAAATGTCTAAAGCCCTCAAAGCTGGCCAAGGATGAAGATCCCAGCTTCAAAATGCGTATCTGGAGGACTCAATCACGCTCCCTGTAGACTCACAAAAAAACAGATGCAGCGCAACTCGAGTGATAGAATAAAAACACAGCCGATCTAATTGGCTACTACAGAGGCCCGCCCCAGCACAGGGAGGAATCCGCACTGCTGACCCGGGCTATCAGGGACGAGCAGAGGTCAGGCCCTTAGGATGGGCCGTTGGGCAGAGGTGGGCATTCTTCAACCCACGAGGCAATAAACAATCCATGCTGAAACAGGTTTTGGGGAACTGTCTTCCAGCATTCATAACAGAAACATTAATGTGCCTCCTCACTTCAGAATACAATTCAGTTCACCTGGTGATTTTTGACCGACAAAACCTGACGTGTAGATACTAACCTTAGGTAAGATCTGCTGCACTTCTAAAGAGGATTTGGATTTCAAGGAAGAAGTTAAAGTGCCTCTAGCAAATCCTCTTAATGTCTCAGGGCCAAATTAGGCACTTCATTACTCCTGGCCAGGGGTAGGCAAGCCATGAACAGTATTAGTCTGTGTATGGCCACAAAATAAGAGGATTGACTAGAGTTGATCAGAAGGACCATTCACCATGATTTGCTTCCTAAAAAGCTTTAAGGTGAAATCTGCAAAGTAAGAACGTAAGCGACTGCAGAAGCAGCTGTTGACGGTGCCTCGGGAGTCATCACCACACAGTAACGAGCAATCAGGGCACCTAAATTAAAATCTAAAGCAAAACAAAACAAGGCAGAAATCTAAAGCAAATAGTTACTATACAATCAATTTACTTAGAAGAAAAGTTTTATAAGAGCTATGTTACGATTTTACTAAAGAGAAAAGTCACAAAATTAACTTGGTCCCTTTATTTAGATTCAAACGATATTACCTTAGTTTGTAAGAAAACAAAAATATGAAATGAGTTCATTGAAACACCCTTGATTCAGACAAAGCACTTATAATTTGAAATAAGAGCCTCCAGATTAATTGCAATTTTTGGATAAAGAAGCCATCGATAGTAGTTGCAAATTTACTCACCTAACTTTGCTAACGGCCAATGTTAACGAAAATCAAAAACTGTGAGGGGGCTATTTTATATTAATAGTGTTTAAAGAGACTTAACACACACAACTTAGTTACCTTGATAATATCATTGGCTGAATAGAAGAAAAGCCAATATTGGGGCAACTTGGGAGGCTAGACATTATTCAATCAATTCCATAGATGTGCTTTGTAGATTATGTAGGACAGTGATCTTATTTTTATTTTGGGGGAGTTTTTATTTCCCCTCTGGTACCAGGGATTTAACTCATGACCTCATGCTTGCCAGGCAGGCTCTGTGCTGTCCAGCTATATCCCCAGTCCCAGTGGCCTCATTGTTAGACAAAGTCTCACAAACACTGTGACTTACTTTCAAAGGATTTGGGGGACAATGTTTACATAAAACAATCATTGGTAAACCTAGGTAAGGGAGAAAGGAATTACTATCCATTCTTTCAACTTTCTTTGGGTTGGAAATTTTTTAGAATAAATAGCTTGAGAAAATAACTTTAAAAATGAGACTTCAAACAAAACAAAACAACAAAAAAAAAGGATTTTTAAATTCGGAAAAGGAAACCACAAAGAAAAAAAATAGAACATGTGCCCTGGGACACTTATATTTGAGCTGAGAAGCTCAGTGGTGGAGTTTGGGCTCAGTAAATGTCAGGTCCAGGGGTTCAGTCCCCAGCATCAAAATGAATAAAAAGACAGAAAAGAAAAATGGACATGGAGGTCTGTTTGCTGATGCCGTGTGAAGCCTGCCAATTTCTGCAGCTGCAAAGCACAGACCCTGAGTGAGCCAACCCGACCTGCATTTCCTGCACTCTCTTCTGGGCCAGATGTATTAAGGATGCTTCAGTCGAGCTCGGCCTCGATTTTGGGGAAGATTCAGCCTTTCAAATGAAAAGCTGAAAAAATCCAACCCTGTTTACCGTGAAGCCCACCCTCCTTTCCAGTGAACTTTAGGAACCAAATTACAAAAAAGCAAAGGCGGTCAGATCTACCACTACAGCAATGCTCAGCACTGACCCTGCAGCACGGATCCTCCTGGGCGTCTATCTCGTTCCTGAACGTAGGAACCACCTCCCTGCCTTCCGTCCAGTACATCCCTCGCCTTCTGTCTGACATCAAACAAGTTTTACTTTGTTCTGGCTCCTGCTGCCTACGCCTCACAATAGATGTGACATTGCCAGGTGTGCCGAACGCAGGAATTTTCTGCTCCCATTCCGATACACAGGAAGCCACAGAAATACTGCTCCAAGAGCTGGAGCGCCTACGCAGCTGTGGCTGACTCAGGAGTTGCTGGCCGTTGGCAATCTGAGCGATATAGTTACTAGCGAGCTAGAAAAAGTGGAGAAACGTTAGTGAGTGAGATGGAAACACTGAGAACAACAGCTCATTATTTTGCTAGCATTTTAGCACAAGAAGACTTTGCAAGTAATTGTTTGGACTGTTACGTTTTTGGTACTAGGTTGGTTAAAACGAGACTGAAAGTTTTCAAGAGAACTTTAAGAAATGTAACCAGTCATATAAAATTTTAAACAATATTGATCCTTACATAAAGTCCCAGGAGTGAGCACATTCTGTAGGGCAAAGCTTCTATACAACAACAGGACACTTACGGCCGGCGATGCAGAAGCCGATCTGCGAGCGGCCTTGTCTTGGACCCGGTCCCGCTCCCGAGAGGGTCTCTGTGGTTTCTCCATTTTGGGCTCAGTAACAATAGCTTTCAGCTGTTTCAGTTTTTCATCCTTGACCCAGAGCTGGTTTTGCATTTCAAGCTGTGTGGCTGCCACGCGACGGTCCTACCGATGACCAACAGTACTGTCTCAGTGACGTCCAGCAGGACACCCATTTACCCAGTCACGTCCCCACCTCAAACTACAGTTCCTCTCGCGCTTCCTGAACACCATGAATATGGGCACCAAAAACAGCTGAGCCCAAGCTGGAGAAAACTTCCCCGCTCTGGGAGGAGCCCTGGCAGGGGGGACACTCACGCATTCTTTCTGCCACTTCGTGGTCATTTCGGCCACCATGCCTTGTAACCTGGTTTCCAGCCTGCACTGCTCGGAAATGTGTCGCTGAAGTTGCTGATTCTGGGTTTCAAGTTCTTGTTGCAGATTCCGCTTGTCTTTTTCATAGATAGAAGCGGTTTTCTCTAAAATCTCAACCTGAGAAAAGAGCCCGCTGTGTTCAGTAGCTACCACACAAACATTTCACTCGGATATAAAATAATCTCCCTAAATTCCTCATGGAAGCACAATCGTGGACAGAAAAATCATAGAAAAAACATTTTTTCTGTCTCTGAGATCTTAAATAAGTTTCTCACTGAAAGACAGTATTATAACAGACTTAGAAGAAATATTCCTAATAATCACCTTGGGGAGGGGAGGTGAAGACAGTAAATGACCATGTGACCACTGCCAAGAGCAGGCACAGGCGTGGGGAGGACCCCGGAGCGAGACCCGCACAGCCCCGCTGGCACAGATACCGCTGCAGGACCCCTAAGCAAACCTTGTGTTCCAGTGTCTTGTTCTTCTTTTCCAGCCGTTCGATTTCCAAATTCTGTCCTGAAATCAGCCTTTCTTTTTCACTTAGTTGTCCTTGACTATAGTTTTCTTTATTTCTAACAGCATTTTCAAATTCTTGTAACAAAGCACTGAAAGCATTAGCTGAAATAAAAGCACGCAGACCAAGCCTTACTCCAATTGAAAAGAACCAAACAGAAAGAGTTCCCACTAGGAGACACTAGATAAATGCAGCTTTCAGCAAATGTCACCCCAAAAAGTACACTGTCGGGGAAAACAAGTTCCAAAAGGAATCAGGAGTTTGATTCTCAAATATACAAGAGGCATTCACAAAAACTTTTTTCCTCCTCTCCTCTCTTCTGTTCTTTCTGAAATAGTGTCTTGATGTGTAACCCAGGTCATCCTTATCTCTCTATGTAGCCCAGGCTGCCTTCAAACTCAGGATCCTCCTGCCTCAGCCTCCTGAGTGCTGAGATTATAGGTGTGTACTACCATGCCCAGTTTGAAACTTTTTGATACTGAAAAAGACTTTCATTCTGCACTACAGTATCCTCCTATCAATGTTTCAAGGTAAATAATATCTTTCCAAATGCAAAAACAGAAATAGCTCTTGATTCAAGATCAGCAGGCACCCCAGTGACTAACCTTGTCTGGTAAACTCATCGGTCATCATTTGTCGCAGCTGATGTCGCTTCTCCAAGCTCTCGATCAGTCTTGGGAGGGTCTGCTCATCATTGATGTCCAAAATCTCACACAGCGGCAAAGGTGGAAAACTCTGTAGACCCACCTCGCTGACCAAAGCTTCTGGATCAAATCACAGAATGACAAGGTTACACAGGAGGAAAAGAGCTAGAACAAGTTTAATGTGCAATCAGAGCCCCAGCGCAATGAGCCATGGTGTTTGGGTCTTGAAAAGAAGGAATGTAAATAGTTGGCCTATATGAAATCAGACTTTTCACAGCTTAAAGAGCCAGACCAACGGGCGGGTCACTGCCAAGGGGCCACATCATACCGTCTCCAATTAGGCCTCCTCGTATCTGGTTTCTGAATCGTCTCCCGGACAGTAAGCCGTATGTGGTCTTGTCTACCGCTCTGGTGACTTCCACCTCTTGGGTCACTTCTGCAAATCTCATCACTTGCTGCAACATAAAACAAATGTGATTTGTAAAAGATAAATGTCCCCAGGTCCTTCTTCAGAAATCACTGTACAAAGCAAAGAGACTGGTATTAGTTCCCTTTTGTCTCCAGTGGTTCTATAACAACTTATGCAATAATCAAGATGCAGATCTTCACATCCAAATGGCTGTCTCCCCTCGCCCCCAAAAAACTTGATTTAATGGGAGAAATAAGTGAAAATTACCAGGTTTTCTTCGTAGTCAGTGGTCTTTGGATTCACACACACGATCATACGTACTTTTCCTTCTCCATCAAAATAGTTCTTGAACAGATGGGTTAACTTTGAATCTCGATACGGAACCATCTATAATAACATTGAGTGTAATTACACAGGGTGAACACACACAAAGAAAACCACATGAGTGGTCAACGCTGGCTGCCACTGACCTTGTTCATTCCGTACATCTGGTTCTCTCTCAGGATCTCCATACACGTTCTTAGCTTCATCAGTGACTGATTAATGTTACCTGACCAAAACACACACAGAAAGCACTGGAAAACAATGTAAGAGCTAAAGGGTGTTGTGTATGCCTGTAAAATCTCAACTTCATATTGACAATTAGATAGGACTCAGAAATGAGTTTTCATGGTTCAGTTAAAGAGTGGCCTTTGTTTCTTTTGGAAACAGGGTTTTGCTTTGTAGTTCAGGCTGGCCTTGAACTGTGTAGCCCGGGTTGGTCTCAAATGGGCAGTGATCCTCCTGCTTCAGGCTCTTATGTGCTGGGATTACAGGCCTGTGCTACCACGCCCCGCCAAAGCATCCTCTGGGTTTCTATTAAAAGGCAACACTGCAGGTAATGACCCAGGAGGCCTCTCCAGCTTTATTTAAGTACACATGTTAGATGCAGGGGTTTAATGACCTCATATAGAAATCTTCTCTCTAAAGCACTCTACAAAACATGACCATTTCTGGCCACACTGGCTCCCACCAATAAGAACCTAGAGCCCCTCTGGCCCCAGAGGAAGCAGCTGACTGTCCCCTCTGCATCTCAGCAAGGATTCCTAAGCAGCACAGTTGTTATTTCTGAGCAATTTTGCTTGGATTTCTTAGCAAAGGCAAGCCTGCCAGATTCCGTCAAGCTTCTAAGACCACAGACAATCACCTGATCATGTCCAAGAACGCCTAAAATGCATGCATTCTGGAACCATGATATGTAGCCGGCTCCACTGTGCTCTGGTCTCTGACTTACCAAAAAGGTGAGTCAGAAGTTAGTTTTTAAAGGTCGGTGATACTGCTTCAGTTAAGCTGGTCTGGAATAATGTACATTATCTAAACTGGAGACAATTGCACTGCGGCTGCCACAGATAGTGTCGATATCAGTTTTGGAAAGCTGTAACAAGAAGAATGATGCTTTGCCCACCTGCTTCCCGCAGTCTGTTCCCTTCTGCTTTGGTCCGGTTAGTTCTTTCACTGCCAGCAAGATCTACCAAGAACAGCTGGCTTACCATGATGTGTTCTTTTTCCTGAAAAGGATCACAAAGCCTAAGTAAGTTAGGCCAGATCACGGTGTTCCTGGAGCAGAATCAAGCCAACATATCATGCCGTCCTATTGGACATGAGATCTGCGTGATACGCAACGTGCAGGGAAGGCAGAGAACACTTGTCACAGGAGCATGTTGCTGTAAGCGTGTGACAGATGCATGTGTGACATGAAACCGCCACTTGTCTGGTGTAGGGAGCAGCTCAGAAGGGCTGCCCCTGTCCTGCCCCTCCTACCTGAGGGCATTGTGTCAGCCTACATTTCCCATGATCCTCCCCTTGCCTACAATGCGCATGACATAAGCACCTTCCCGCTTCAGCCTACATCTCCCATAATCCCCTCTTGTTGACATCACTTCCCCTTACCTATGTGCCTACATAGTCCGATAGGCCCAAGGCTAGTCCTCCCATATGAGGAGACCCAAGCCGGCCCATCCTGTGAAGCCACATCCCCTTTGACTCTATATAAGCCATGTACACTTCCTGAATAAACGGGACTTGATTGGAATTGGTCAACTTGTCCTCCTCTCTCTTTTGTGTTGTCCAGCCCTCCATCCCCGTCCCCTCTCCAGGTGAGGCCTACAGGCCGATCCGCGGGCCGGATCAGTCTGGTGTCTGGCCCTCCTTCTGCACCAGAAGACGCAGGCTCCTTGTGGACAGGGACTCAGTTTTTAGTCACTTTACTAGCACCCTGCACACTTTTCTGCAAAATGATTCAAAGGAAATCAAGTGTGTATTGAAGGGGAATTTATACCTAGTTTTTGGCTGAAATGTGTTAACAGTGACGATCACATTTATGGCTGACCGTACCCCCAAGCACTGGGTTATGAGCTTTATAATACCACACGCTGAATCCTCACAGTCTTCTCTTCTTTCTTTTTCCTCAGTACTGACGATTAAAACCAGGCCTTCATATGGAGCTACACGCCAAAGCCCTTTTGCATTTATTGTTTTGAGAAGAGTCCCACAAAATCACAAAGCTGCCCAGGGTGACCTGAGCTTGTAGCCCTCCTGCTGCAGCCTCCCAGGGTGCTGAGATTAAGGCTTTCCACCACCACACAATCTCAGCAGAGGCACCATTAGAGTATTAGATGATCATAGTTACATCAGACAGCCGGTAAATAAACAGGAACGAGCATTCAGATCTAGCAGTCTGCAATATCATTTCTTCCTGCCACCTTGAAACCAGCCTGTCACAATTGCATGCTACAGTACTATGATTACAATTAAACAGCCTGACATTATTAATTGTGCACTGAGGTGCAAATGCTATCAGTAATTCCCGTAAGCCTTATAGCCTGCCAGGTCCAGCAGTAACCTGTGATTAGCAGGTGAAGCCCTACTGGCTACCCACTTGAGGAGAAGCAACTTAGACTTCTGGGTACCCCCTAACTGAATTCATGCTGGGAAGTCAAACTGCTGACATTTAAAAATATTAACTGAATTTTTCCATACAAAAGTTATTAAGAGCCAGGCGTGGGTGGCACACACCTGTAATCCCAGCACTCAGGAGGCTGAGGCAGGAGGACCGTTGCAAGTTCAAGACCAGTCTGGGCTACAAAGTGAGCTCAAGGACAACCTGAACTGCATAGTGAGACCCTGTCTCAAAAAGACCAAAAAAAAAAAAAAAAAAAAAATCATTAAGGATAATAATAATCAATTGCACAGTCTTCTTAAGCAAGGGGATTTTTTTCAAATATGTAAATCCTTTTCACAGCAAAATTCCAGGTGTGCAGATACTATCTAATGAGAAAAAAATTTATTTTCAAGTATCAGCTATGTAGATATTAATGCTAGAGCAGTCTTCACTATGTGACTTAACTCTGCATCTTGAAATAGAGGCTGAGGCCAGGAGCAAGCGCTCAATCTGCAGTTTACCTGCAGGACGTTGTCCCCGTCTGCATCCAGCGGAGCCTTCACCAGCTTAATGTTGAACACACTGTGGGAACGGCTGGACTCCTGGTTCAAGTGTGTGTTAGCAATGCGTCTTTTGGTCTGACCTATGACAACAGAGAAATCATTGCCGTACCCTTAACATCTCATTGTGCACACGTTCTGATACATCCGAGAGGACTGCTGTCACATTGGGGTAGGGCGCACTCTCAAGGGCCAACCCATTACTTGGCATTCTTCTACTTCTAACCTCTCCAGAAGACTTCAAAAGCCTCCTCAGTAGATTTCACTTCCACCTGAGTGCATCCTGCAACATACATGTTGTGGTTCTTGTCTTCACGCAGAATCTTAGATTGAGGCAGCCTGCGGGGAAGAGAGAAAGTCAGAGTTCTAAACTGAGAGCTGCTAATGCATTTCCCTGACAACTAGAGCTACACTAATCAGCAACTCCAGTGCTGCCTGGAGACAAGCCACCCCAGAGAAACATCAGAGTAGGACGGTGTCGGCTCATGGGCAAGGTGGGTTACAAAACAGGCTAACAGGAGGCGGTGCTGTTGTGAAAGCGCAGCTCTGGTCACTAATGAAGCACAGAAACATTCACAGAGCAGATCGCAGAGGACCACAATGACGCCTCACACACAGCTTCTCCCCTCGGCGTGGCAGTCCCACCTGCTTCTGCCTTGGTGGCACTGGAGCGCCCACACGCATGGCAGGCCTCAGCTGCTTTTTCCTGCAGCAGCACCATTTCCAATGACCTTCCAGGATCAAGGAGGGCAGAGGCAGCAGCCAGCCCAGAGCCAGTGAAAACCTGCATGCAAGCGTGCCACGGCTGCCTGTCGGTAGCGTAACTGCACCCTCCTAATGACAGCCCCAGTACACAAAATCTGTGCTCCTCCCGGGGCTCCTGCAACGGCTCCGCCTACCGAAAGAAAAAGGTAAGTACTGCAGTTTCCACACAGCACTGCAGCCCAGACTACACATACAATGAGAGGTATGTTTAAAACCCTCCTGTTGCAGGATTTCTTCATGGCATTAAAACCACTAAAAGTGTCTGTCAGGCATAGTGGAACGCACTTGCAGTCCCATCACCAAGGAGGAGGCTGAGGCAGGAAGAGTGCCTCAAATTCAATGCCAGCCTGGAATGCAAACCAAGACCATGCCTCAAAAAAGTGGGAAACAAGCTGACCATGGTGGCACATGCCTATTATCCCAGCACCAGGAGGCGGAGGCAGGGAGACTGCCTCAAGTTTGCCACATGCCTGGGCTACTCAGTGAGTTCAAGGCCCGCCTGGACTACACACAGAGCAAGACTGTCATGGAACAGAAACAGTGAAAGTTAACAGCTCAGAAAAGTAGCTGTAACCGTAACATCACCCCAGCCAATTAAATCTGACCCCAATGGCTAACAAGCGCCCTTGTAAACTCATTCAAGGAAGAAGTGGGAAAGGTTACCAAGCACACTGGCGCTTTGGATGGTATTCCCTTGCATAATAACGTCGTTAACCAAGACAGGTCTTTTGAAAAAATCCCAATGTAAACAAACCAAACGAAAATGTGGCACATAGGCAGACACGGAAGAAATGAATGTCATTTATCAAAGTTTAGGAAAATGGATATACACAAACCTGGAGTAAAGACAGCGAGAAGCCTGAAACAAATAGGAATGTAGTAAAATCAGCAATAAAAATCAGTTATTGTCAGAGGTAGTAGCACACACCTGTAATCCTCGCACTCTGGGAGGCTGAGGCAGGAGCACTGCAAGTTTGAGCCAAGCCTGAACAACTTAATGATTTAGCAAGATCCCATCTCAAAATAAGAAATAAAGTGAGGGAGGACAGCTGGGGGTGTAGTAAGATGCAAAACCCTGTATTCAATCACCAGTCCCAGAAAACACACACACACACCCCATAAGGTCTGTACTCTTTCACATGTTTATATGCTCTAATTTTTTTTAAATACTAACACTCTAAGGGGAAAAAAATGGTGCTTACCAAAATAAATCCTGCCAGGCCCAGTGGTGCATGCCTGTAATCCCAGCACTCAGGAGGAGGCTGAGGCAGGAGGATCATTGTGAGTTTGAGATCAACCTGGGCTACAAAGTGAGCTCAAGGCATCCCTGAACTACAAAGCAAGACCCCGCCTCAAAATGAATGAACAAAAAATAAGTGTCTTGGTAAAGTTCTCATTTAAAGGATTAGCGGGCTGGGGATTTAGCTCAGTGGCATAAGCACATGCCTTGAAAGCAGGCAGTCGTGAGTTCCATCGCCGATACCAATAAAAAAGAAAAAGACAAATAAATAAATAAATAAAGAAGGATTAACTAGAGCAAAAAAGGAGCAGTCTTTCTTCACATAAACGTGTGGAATTAAACATTTATTTCACTTATCCACCTACTCGGTGAATTCCGGCATCCTGAAGGGATGTGAAATGTGATTGAGAAGAGCCATAGAAATACTTATCAAGGGCTGGGGATATAGCTCAGTGCATAAGCACCTGCCTGGCAACCACAAGGTTGTGAGTTCAACCCTGGTACAAAAAAAAAAATAAACACTTATCAAATGTGGCCTCAACCAAAATCCACATTTCATACAGGTCAACTGCATGCACTGACATCTGTTCTCAGTCTAATGGTTTCCTAAATCCAACCATTCCTCCAGTGTGTTCCATGAGGCAGATACTTGAAGAAAAAAATATTTTTTTGTCTTTTTGAGACAGGGTCTCCATATGTAGTTCAGACTCAGCTTGAACTCACTATGTAACCAAGGCTGGTCTTGATCCTCCTGCCTCAACCTCCTGAGAGCTGCAGTCATAGGCAGGCACCACCACACCTGGCTCACAACAAGTTAAATCTAAAACACAAGTGTGCATAGCAAAGACAGTGCTCAAGGCCAGCTTTTAGCTGAGGAGCAAAACCCTCCACAGAGGAACCACAGATACAATACTAACTTAGACCTAAGATTCTGCAACCAGCTCAGGCACAGATGCAGACTTAAGATTAGTGAGCCCTGACGGTAAGCAGGTATGATCTTAGGTTTCCAGCAAGACAAGACCTGGGGGAACCTAAGGCACAGTCTGAACTCTGGTGACAAGACAGTGACACTCAATACTAATCAACAATGGAAGATCAGAGAACACCGGTACATCTTGATCTGCAGAGACAGACAGGACAGAGGGCTACAGAGGCTGCAAAAGTCCCCACATCGAGCACGATGTCCTGGAAAGGGGCCCTGGCCTGCATCATTATAAATTAATCAAGGGACCTGCTCAGAATAGCTCAGGGCCAAGAGTTCAAGAGTTCTCCAAAGTAATCTCCAGCCGGGGATGTCAGTGCAAGTCAGTAATCCCAGCAGTTGAGAGGCTGAGGCAGGAGCCTCATTCTGTGTTTGAGGCCAGGCTTGGCTACATATTGAGTTCAAGTTCAGCTTGAACTGTATGGTGAGACCCTGTCCCCCCCCAAAAAAATCTCCCAGATGAATATCCAGGTCACTTTTTTCCTCATATGCCTGAGCCCACCAGTTCCCTAAAACAGCTACTGTATCATTAGTAATAAGTGCTTACGGCACCCTAAATACCGAATGTGTGAGCTATTGCACTTGCTCTGAAAACAAATGCAAGCACTGGCCCTGAAAGCATAAAGGCTCCCTGAGGGAAAGCAACGGCCGAAGGTGGAGGCTAAGGGGCGCTCGCCTCTACTAACCTGGTCTTTATTGGATCAAATGGCACCTCCTCCAGGAGATCATAAATGTAATTATTATATATTTCAATGTAAGAGACGAATACACCGTAGACGCAGTCTTCATCCACCTGATCTACTTTGCAACATTCTTGGACATTTATTATATCTGCAAAGTCTGGATCTACTTGTCGCCTGAAAATCCAAAAACACAGAAGAGATTTGCTTCCACTCCAAGTCCTGATCTGAAGGAAACCGTGCCGCAGGGAGACTAAAGCTCTAACGAGATCATCCGGCCTCAGAGTAGGGTGCAGAATCCACGTTACTCCCAGTTCTCAGATCTGCCAGTGCCCCGGGCCCACCCGATGATTCCCAGCACTGGCTCTCACCCTCTCCCCAGAGGCAGCTTCTGACGACAGAGCCATACACCAGGTGCTGGAAACCAGAGCGAACATCGGAGCAGCCAGACTGGTCGTCACCCCTGAGCGGCCACCTTTACCCATCGCAGCCAGGCCGGAGCCACACACAGGTACGATTACTTACTTGGCGGACGGGGTCTTGGGGTTGGGTGTGGCTTCTCGTTTCTGCCGTTCTAATAAGGCATCCACCTCACACTGAATCTCCATGCTATTCCTATCATTAGATTTAAAAACCTAAAGGAGGAGCAAAGGTCAAACCGTGCTTCTGAGAATTTGGCTTAAGCAGTACAAAACACATTTAAGAAATTAGCTCTGTGACATTGCAACATGCAAGTTTCAAGCTGGTTCTGATGCTTTGATTCTTCCTAAGACCACTGTATCCACAGGCCTGTTATGTCTATGTAAAACAGGAACACAGGCTGTGTAGTGGTGCATGCCTGTAATCTCAGCACGTGGGAGGCTGAGGCAGGAGGATTGCTGTGAGTTTGAGGCCAGCCCAGGATACATAGGGAGTTCAAGGCCAGCCTGCACTACACAATGAGACTCTATCTCAAGAAAAAAAAAACAAAACCCCAAAAACTAAAACTAAAAACTAAACTAAAACAGACACAACACAGAAGACTCATACTTACATAGCGTTTGGCCTGATATGGACCTATGCTGTTGAAGATCATCTTTAAGCACCGTGGAAGCAGCCCTGCTTCCCCCGGAGACCCCGTCATGGTGTGCGTTTTCCCACTTCCCGTCACGCCATACGTAAAGAGCAGACCTGAGGTGTAGCAAGTCACAGTGAGTTAAAGTCCCGCGCTTAAAGCACATCTTCCATTGTCAGCAAAAAAGCAGGAAAAGTAGCCTGCTCAAAAACAGCAGGTTTAACATCACTCGGACAAATCTGAATTGAAGTGGGAACCAAAGAACAAATATCAAAAGAGAAGAAACGCCAGATGCAGTGGTGCCGGCCTATAATCACATTACTCAGGAGGCTGAGGCAGGAAGGTCACTGAGTTCGAGGTCAGCCGGAGCTACACAGTGAGACTTTGTCTCAAAAAAAAAAAAAAAAAAAAAAAAGAAGAAGATAAGAAAACAAGGAAATCCAAGCAAACTCCCAAGAATCTCACCATTTTTGCCATGAATGAGGTCATCCACTAAGGGCTTCGCCACAGTATCAAAAAGCTCCTGCTGGGTGGTGTAAGAGCCGAACACTTGCTTAAAGGAGTACTGAGTCTGCGGGCAGAAGGCAAAACACACTCCCTTGGAACACCGCACCACAGAGCCTAGAAATGTATCTGCTGGTGCCGAGCAAGTTTCGTGATGAACCATTCTGACGCAAAAGATAAAAATACCAATGGTCTTGAAATCCCCAAAACTTAATCTCAGCAGCTGACACAGTCATCATGTATATAAGTTGTCAGTTTACAAACCTGTAAACACTTCCATCTCCACTCCTGCAGAGTGTGTAGAAAAGTTTTAAGTCTACTAAAAGATGGACTTTGTTTTTAATCAAGTGACAGGGAAGACCAAAAGGTATATTTCAGAGTCCTAGGTTTATGGGAATCTTTATTACTTTATATACTCATCTACTATTTTTTCTTTATAAAAAAGTCATGTAATAGCTGAGCATGAATGCAATCCCAGCACTCGGGAGGCTGAGGCAGGACCACTGTGAGTTTGAGACCAGCCTGGGCTACAGTGAGCCCAAGGCCACCCTGAACCACATAGCAAGACCCTGTCTCAAGAAGACAAAAGAAAAGTCATTTAGAATGGCAATAACAAAAAAAAAAAAAAAAAAAAAAAAAAAGAAAGAAAGAAAAGAAACCACCAATAACCAAGGTGGGGTGTTTCTATGGATGAGGTCACATACACCAGTAATTCCAGTACCCTGAAAGCCAAGACCCAGGGTTAAGGTGAAACTTGTAGCAGGGTTCTGGCTTATCTGATGAACCCCAAAAGCTAAGGAGGAGAAAGAAACAGGAGGCAGCCTCCACAGCATTTTGCCCCTTGAAAGACTTTATTGCTTAAAAGGTTTTAAACAGAAAATGATAAACCTCCTTTATGTTTTAAGAGAGTATTTTGTTTCTGGGTGTGGTGCTTGCCCGTAATCCCAGGACTCTAGAGGAGACTGAGACATGAGGATCCCTGTGAGTTTGAGGCCAGCCTAGGCTATAGAAGTTCAAAGCCAGTCTGAGCTACAAAGCAAACTCTTAAAACACAAACAATTCTGGCTGCCCTGTGGAAACAGATCCAATAAGAAGATTGCCAAGAGAAGCAGGAGCTCCAGTTGGGCTGGAGCACAGTGTGACCAAAATCAGCTCAAAATGTGGTCAGCATATCAGGCCCTGCCTGAGAACTGTCTGTCACAAGGCGACCTCAGCATTTAGAAACTTCGCCACACTACTGCAGCACTCCTACCTGTGTCCACTGGGTTTGGTTCACTAATAGTCTGTCAGCAAACTCCCCTAACTGGTTCCATCTAGTGTGAAGTGCGCCACAGGATCAGCTGTCCCACAGCAAATGTGTGAGAAAACTGAGTTATTCCCTCTCCTCAGTCTGAGGGGCACTGGTCTCAGAGACTAAGCCAATAAAGCAGTGGCAGCGGGGCCAGAACCAAAAGGACCATTTGGAGACGAGCACTGGAGTAGTGGAACAGAGACTGTAAGGATGCAGTGTACACAGTGCTGAGATCCGAGCAGAGGACCCACAGAGAACCAGGTCTGGGGGCCCCGGATTCCACCTGGGCAGCTGGACACAGAGCTACGAGGGGGCAGCCACTGGTTTCTTTCCCAGAAGAGACAGAGACATTAAAGAGGGAAAGCTGGAAGGAGGGGAAGGGCTGCGGGAAAGAGGGTGCTGCTGGGGTTTCAGGGAGGACAAAGAGCTGGCATCAAATTTCGCCACAGGTATTCTCCCAAAGGGCCACAGCCCAGCCATGGTGAGCAGAGAGAATCACAGCCTTGGGAAGAAGAGAAGACAGCCGGCTCCTCTTTGTCCTCCGGGACCCCCCTGCTTCTTCGGCTGAGGGCCACCACCATGGCCTCCGGACTAAGCTAAGGCAAGGACTCTCTCACACCCCTTTACAGATCCCCTCCTCCCTCCAGCTGCTGGCTCAGCACATTTGTTCAGCAGAGCTGAACTTGCATTTCTGAGCTGGTTCAGGATCGCACTAAATATAAAACCCTTTATAAGAGGTTGATACAAGCGAGATGTGGGGGTACGTGCCTGTGACCCCAGTATGCAAGCTTAACCATAGCAACTGAGCAAGAAACTGGCTCACATGAAAAAGGGCTGGAGGTGCAGCTGAGCGTGAAGGCGCCGGTTGAGGTCCCACTACTGAGGGAGAGAAAAAAGGGAGGAGGCGGTGGAGTGAAAGAAGAAGAAAGGACCACAGCTGAGCCAGTTTGGGGGCGCACACCTGTGCTCCCAGCATTTGGATTAGCAGCTCATCTCCCTGACTCGGCCACTTGTCAGGCTCAGCCCTCAGGAGGCCGAGGCAGGAGGCCTGTTATGGGTTCAAGGCCAGCCCGAGCTACAGAGCAGGACACTGTCTCCAAAACACAAAAAGAAGTTGGAGGAGGGCGTTGTTGACATAAATGCACAATGGAAATACACTTAAGTTATTTCAGTTTCAGCACCTGACTGAAATTGTGTGTGTAAAACTGACCGGCACAAGATGACGTCATTCCCTAGACACAGTGTTGATAAGGAAGGAAACCGTCTTTCAAACAATAGAATCACATAGGAAACTGTTTGAGTTTAAACATGGAGCACCGGGGATTTAGCTTAGCAGCATAAGCGCCTGCCTGTCAAGCGTGAGATTGTGAGTTCGATCCCCAGTACCAAAACAACAGTTTAAACAGGGAAAAGCCACTCAGGGATTCCCTCAAGTGAAGACAAATGGGCTGCGGCTGGAATTACCTCCTTGTCGTTCCCAGTCCGGTTTACTTTGTAGTAGCCCTCGGGAGGGTGAAACTGCACTGTGGTGCTGCTGATGACCTCAATGCAGCTGCACTCTTGGTCAGGGAAGCTCAGGGGCCGCACCCTGCAGTACACCTGGAAAGCAGGAGGTTGCCGGTCAGCCTCCTTTCTCAATTTAGCTTCTCATTCATTCATTCAACAAACATTCAGTGCCATTCAATGTAAGAGACCACTAGGAACGCAGAGCTACCAACAGTGAAATCGGCCGCACGAGATTGTCAAATGGAAACAAGATTCATTAGATATGAGAAAACATTTAAAATATATGTCATTGCAAAGTGAATTTGGGTAACAAAAGTATCAAATTGTACAGGTTGTCTTTTGCTTTTATACTGGACACAAATGACTAAATTATGTGACTAACAAAGATTTCTCTAAATAGCAAATAAAAGTTGCTGGACTTCTTTGGAATTGGATGTCAATTAAACCTTGTTAGCCTAACCCAACACTTAACACAGAAAGTATAAAAAGGCAGAGGAGGTGTTGGGGAAAACCTATCCCCAAGAACCTGCCATCCACTCCAGTGGCAGGGTGGAGAGGGGATTTAAAATGTCTCTGAGCGAACCAATCCTGTTATTTTTCTTTCATTGTAAAAGCCAGTTCCGAGCCTGAAACCACTAGCAGTTAGGAAGCACTCAAGTGAATCAAGCTGTCCCAAAGTCATGCAGGTGGGAGAGGGCACTCCAGCCTAGGTGGAAAGTCTCACCCTCATCCCAAAGAGGGTGACATGAAGCCAGGCGGAGACTTCTGATTGGTCACACTAAGCATGCAGTCAACAAGCAAAGACTGCAACTAATTAAGCCTACAGAGCAACACAGCTAGAGTCAGTTAGACACAATTCAGTAAATCTAACTAACTGCTTCACCAGCTACTTCCACACCCTCTTTCACCTTCCCTCCTGAGCACACATGCAAGACAAGAGAAGGCAGGAAGAAAGAATACAAGCGCATCAAGCCAGGGAAACCTTACCCCAACTGGCTCTTTGAGGTTCCTCGGGAACCCTTTCTTCACTGCTGGTTTCTTAGGTGTCTTCCCTCTCCTGGTCATTAAAAAAAAAAACAAAAAAACATCCGTTCAGCACGAACATAACAAAGACCTCACATATAATTCACACAAAGCCAACTTCCCTTAGATTTATAGAATTGTTCCTTAAAAGTTCCAAAGCACCGCATTCCAAATAATATCACTAATAAGCTGCAGCAGCAACAGCACATGTAATCCAAAAGCAAAGGTTGCTGTAGCGTCTATTTTGGGCACTCAAGGTACCTTATTTTTTGCAGTCTTGTATTTTAAGTAGTTTGTACATTTTCTTGAGCAATAGTTCTACAGACGCACTATGAATTTGAAATATCTACAATTAACTGCTCTCGCTTACCATTTAGAGATATATGTAGACAGGCACGCGCTGTATCAACAGTCACTTTCCAGGCACAAGGAGGGGTCATTAACCTCAGTCAGTTGCAAAATGCACCAGGGAGATTCTTTCAAGTTTTATATCTATACCATTCAACTGGTCATTCAATAGTCAGCACCGTGACGTCAAACCACCAATTTCTCTCTTTTGCCCTATCTTTCTATCTAAAACTACCACATTGGCCACTTTGCTCTCTTTAAGGAGGAAAAACAGAAAACGCCATTTTCATATCTTTCACCACCATTTAAAGCTAAAATACAGCAATTGGTTTGGACCACAGATTTTTAAACTATTTTTGTCAACATATTCCCAGCTGAAGCAGTAGTAAATGGCTCTTGTTTTGCATTTACTCAATATATCCTTTTTCAAATATCTAGATTTTAACTGGGTGTGGTGGTGCATACTTGTAATTCCAACACTCTCAGGGGCTGAGCTAGGAAGACTGCAAGTCCTAGCCCAGAGGGGGCAACTTAACAAAGGCTGTTTCAAAATAAAATAAAAAGGCACTGGGGAACTGTGTTCAAAATAGAATAAAATAAAATAAAATAAATAAAATAAAAAGGTGGGGGGAGTGGGGATGGAGGGCGAAGGTTCTGGGTTCATTCCCCAGTATGAAGCCAGCGGGGCGGGGCGGGGGGGGGACTTAGACTTTGGCTTCTTTAAAAATCAGGACTATCCTTGTGCGAGCGGCTAAATCACTTTACCCTTAACAGAACACCTTCCTCAACTAGAGAAAGGCTGCGATCCGCTCTCCCCACAGACGCGCAGAGACACGCGGACTCTCCCTTGGGGCAGGGTTACTCTAAAGTCCAGCGAAAGGAACTGGCTGGGCCTCGAGGCCAGCGCCCGGGGATCCACGACGCCAGCCCCAGAGGACAGAAACCGCCCGCCGGCGCCGAGGGGCCCCCGGCACCGCTGCACATGGGGCTCCCCGAGACCCAGACCCCTCTGCACAACCAGAGCGGCCCGGGTGTAGAGCCGTCCTACAAGGGCGGGGACGACGCCGGGCATGGGGGGGGGGGGTGACACCGGTCAGCGGACCTCGGGGACCGCGGGAAGCCCGACTTCGGGTGCCCCTTCTCAGTGGCGGGCGTGGCCGTGGGCACCCAGATCCACAGGCGCGGGAGCTACGGGGTCCAGGTCTCAGTGAGGGGTCAGCGGGGCGCCCCACTTGAGAGTGCAGGCCCGGGATCCACCCTGGTCCCCGCCCCCTCGGCGGTCCCGAACTCACGCTGCCTCCATGGTACCAGGTTTCTTGCGCCCCACACGCCAGGGACGCGGGGCTCGGCCAGGTGAAGAGGGCACCGCACTCGGCAGCTAGGTCGCAGCGCTCCGGAAAGGCCCGCGGAGCCGCTGCGAGTTCCGATGCGCTCCCGCCAGGCGCTGTTCAAACGGCCCAATCAGTGCCCGCTCGCGAGGAAGGGGCGGGGCCTCGGGAGCGCTAGCCCGCGGAAGTGGCGCTGGTTTCCTAGGCGACGAAGCGGAAAGGAAGCCTAAACTCTGTGAAGACTGCGGGGAGATTCCTCTCAGGTGCGTCGCGCAGTTCTATGCCTTTGAGAAACATACCATCCTATCACTACCACCGCAATCAAATATACATTTTAAATTTTTTTTAGTTTTTATTTTCATTAGCTCATGTTTGCAGTCCGTAATGATTATGTTCATGGTGGAGAGTTGGCACATATAAATAACAAATCTTATTTTTTCTTTTTGCATCTTAATAAATTACATTTCTGGTATACTAAAAAATACCATTGTGCCGCTCGTTCCCTTAATCCCAATCCATGCCAGCTCATTTCTGATTCCCTTCCCTATCGTTTGCCTCATCCAAAATCGTCTTTCACTCAGTTTAAGGCTTTAGAGCGCATCCCTGGGCTGTGTCTAGTCGTGACGTTGGTACTGCCGAGTAGTCTTCCTGGTGTGAAGAGGTGACCCTGCATTCATCAGCTGACAGGCACATGGGTGCTTCCACTATTGGGGATTATGAGTGCGACCGGTATAATCATCATTTGCACAAAAGTCTTTTGGCTGACATGTTTTTCTCATCGGTAGGACTGTGGGGCTAGTGACATGTAAATTTAATACAAAGCTGCCAAACTGTTTAAAATATAAAGTGAATACGACTGGTGAACTGAGGCAGGAGGGTCTGATGGAGATGACTGAACAAGTGCTGCCTGGGGTACTCAGGATCTAGCAATAGACTGGATTTAGCCAGGAAATCCTTCTGGGCATGCCTGCGGGGCTTTCCAGAGATGACTAGCTTTTGGGCCAGCAAGCCAAGGAAGGTGCCCCACCCTACTGACTGTGGGTGGCACCACTCCCTAGGTTTATACCCTGTGGGAATGAAAGGGAGAGGAGGAGGAAGTAGCCTGCATTTGTAAACCTTCCCTCCATTCTGCTTGGGTGAGTGTGTCTTTTGCTGCTGCTGTCATCTGTGGACACCAAGCTCCAGGGTCTTCAATTTCTCCCCGAGGACTCATACCAACAACTCTTCAGGGAGCTTCCAGACCTTCAGTTGGTGCTGCAGCCTGGGTCCATCTTGTCCTTTGGCTCCTTGAGCTGAGTCACTACACAATTTTCTGACTCTCCAGCCCACGGCCAGCCATTGTGGACATCTTGCCCCTGATCCTGTAAGCTTATCTGATAAATTCCCTTACATAATTATATAGTTATGATTTGTGTCTGGATGTTCCCTCAAGGCCTCATAGAGTCATGGGGGCAGGCTTCTAGAGTTTGTGATTGATTCATTGTCTGGTGCTGGAATTACGGACCTGAATGCTACATCCACTCTAGAGTGGGAAACCTACATACAGTATAAAGGACAGAGTCTTCTGCCTACACTCCTCCCTTTCAGCCCTTGTTTTTGCTGTTTTCCACCACCAAGAACTGTTGCCTCTTCCATGTGCTACCCTGCCTGAGAGCCAGCAGATTATGGACTGAAACCTCCACAAAATGTGAGCTAAGTAAGCCTTTCCTTCCTTCATTTTGAATGTGTTCATTTTTGTCTGAGCAACAAGAGAAAATTAAGGGCCGAGGATTTAGCTCAATGGCATAAGCACCTGCCTGGCAAGTGTAAGGTTGTGAGTTTGATCCCTAGTACCACAAAAGAGAGAGAGACAGAGAGAGAGAACAGGATTTTAGTACCTGAGAAATGAGTCATTACTGTGACTATTCCTGATCACGTGGTTCAAGAGCCTTTGGGAATGGCTTATGGGAAGAGTTGGAAAGGGTCAGAGATGTCACCTGAAAGACTAGAGCCAGTGAACCGGGGACTTAGTTCAGTGGCTCAAGTGCTTGCCTGGTAAGCACAAGGTTGTGAGTTTGATCCCAGGTACCAAAAAAAAAAAAAAGAGTAGAGCTAGAATGCTTTAGGCTATTCTGTATGGGAAACTGGTCAGAGCTCAGGAGACCAGAAGGCTAACAGAAATTCTGCAGGTGAAAACCAGGCTTGGAAGGTTTCTGCTGGGAAGCAGGATTGCTGTTGGACTCCAGATGTGTGTTGTGGCTTGGCAGAAAGTCTGTCTGCATTTTGCTCTTGTCCAGAGACTTTGCCTGAGACTGGGATTAAGGGTGGTGGTTTAATTAACGTGGCAAAAGGAATTTCAAGTCAGTTTAATGTTGAGGTAGTGGCATGGCTATTGTTGGGGAATTTTATCCAGATCTATGTTGAGAATGAAGAGCAAAGAGCCTCATAGGATGATTTAAAACATTGTGAGTTTGGCCAAAAAGGAAGCTCCAATAAAGCTGTGGACTACAAAGATAGAGCTGAAGGGGCTGGGGATTTAGCTCAGTGGCATAAGCACCTGCCTTGAAGCAGGCAGTTGTGAGTTTGATCCCTGGTACTGATGAAAAGGAAAAAGACAAAAAAAAAAAAAAAAAGATAGAGCTAAAGAGAGCTCAAATGCTGAGAAGGAGCAAGAGAACAGAAAAGATGGCCTGAGGGCATCACAAGAAGCACATTTTCACCCTTTGCAGCCTCAAAACTGCAAAAGTGAAAGAATGCTTTGAAGGAAAATGGCATTGAGCATCATGTTCTAGAATGGCAGCAGCATAGAGATTTGTTCCTTAGATTCTGGTTCAGATTGCTTAGCAATCTAGGCCCTCAACCCCTACAGCCAAGAGAGAGGAAAACCCAGGTATGTTGCAGCTGACTGCAGACCTTGGCATCATCCATGTGGCACTGGCTTTAGGTGCATACAGAATGCAAGAATTCTGAAGTTAAAGAGGCTTCCACCCAGATTTCAGAAGAAGGCCTGTGGGCCAGGCAGTGTGCCCCTGAAAGGGCAATGTAAATCTGTGAGGGTGAAGTCAAAGGTGCAGTGGAGACCTCAGAAGTTTGCAAAAGCCAGGAACACGGATCATCTAAGGAGAGCTGCAAGGGTTGAACAAAGGATATCTAAGAGAAAAGCTCTGGGAGCTACAATCACCAAAAGTGCCACAGGAGGGGAGTTACACAAGCCTTTTGTGTACCACAATTTACCACAGATTGCTCTGGATGTTCCACATGGAACTACAGGACTTAATGTTTGCCCTGCGGGATTTTGGACTTGCTTTGGTCCCATTGCTTTGTATTGTACCTGTTTGTACCTTTTGGAATGGCAGTGTTTATTTTGTGCCATTGAATTTTGGAAGTGTTTAACTTTCCATTTGTACAGAGACTCACAGCAATGAGTTTGCCTTAGATCTCAGAGAAGAGTTGGGATTTGGACTTTTGCTGAAACTGTTAGGACTTTGACAACTCTTGGAGATGAACTAAATGTGTTTTGCATGAAGGATATGCATGAGTTTTTGGGGGCTCAGGGTGGAATTTTATGGTTTGTCTGGATGTCCCCCCAAAGCCTCATATAATCATGGCGGCAGGCTTCTAATTTGTGATTGACCATTGTCTTAGCACTGGGATTATGGGTGTGAGACCCTAGGGTGGGTGTGGCTTACATACACCATAAGGGACAGAGAGAGTCTTCTCTCTATGCTTCTCCCTTTTTGCTCTTTTTAAAAAAAATTTTAATAGGAAAAAATAACAAAATTTCAATACATGATGTTTAGAGGGTAACAATGATTAACACATTGCATAATGTTATCTTTAAATTAATTTCTTAGAGTGCCAGATATCTGTATTTAACTATCCAAACAATTTAGCATAAACCATTCTTTTTAATGAACTAAGAAATTAGTACTATCACTATCTTAACTATCATATATTATTTTTTTCAGCTTTTCACACTAGAGAGAGAATACGATGTTTACACATACAAGTCTGGTTTATTTCACGTATGAGTATGGTCCCTAATTGCATCCATTTACCTATAAAAATCCCCAGTTTATCCTTCTTTATGGCTGAGTAATACTCCATTGTATAAAAATACCATATCTTTTTTATCCATTCCTCAGGTGATGGGCATTTAGGTTGTTTCCAAGATCTAGCTATTACAAACTGTGTGGCTATAAACATCTAATGCCTATTACTTAATGATGATTAGTGTCTGTGAACCCATTCTGTTCCACATTAGACCCTTTACAATCGGTGCTCCACAAAACCATTATAAAATTGCAGCGGGGAGTGCTTGGTGGCACACACCTGTAACCTCAGCATTTGTGCTTGGGAAGCTGAGGCAGAAGGATCACCCATGAGTTTGAGGCCAGCCTAAACTACATAGTAAGATCCTGTCTCAAAAAAAAAAAAAAAAACCCAAAAAACCTGTAACTGATAACATTGTCCAAAAGCATACAACTATTAAAGTTGACCAAATTTAAGAAAACATTGTGAAACACTTGATCTTATTCAGTTGAAAGTGTTTTATTCTTATCATCAAGCCTGGTGAAAAAGTAGTAAAGATTCAAGAGTCTAAAAGCCCTTCACAGTGGTCACTCCAATCTTCCAGCTATTTCTAAACCAAACCGAAAACATTTTGTTCCTAATAAATGAAAATTTGAAACACTTTGTCTTTGGCATTATTAGAAAAGGGTGCTTAAACTTTATACCTTTTGTCTCTATAAAATTAGAGTTATAAACCAGGTGTGGTACTACAGGCCCATAATCCCAGCACTCCAAAGGCTGAGGCAGGAGGATCTTCATGAGTTTAAGCCCAACCTGGCTGATGTAGCAAGACCCTGTCTGAAAAGAAAAAATACTGGGGCTGGGGATTTAGCTCAGTTGTGTAAGCACCTGCCTGGCAAGCGCAATGTTGTGAATTTGATCCCTGGTACCCCAAAAAAAGCTGGAAGAAAAAATACTGGAATCATAGTGAGAAGCAACAGAAGCCTACAGACCCCGCTGATACAGCAGTCTGCTAGCGGCATCAGATTATTGCCCAGAAGCAACATTCATCCTACAGCTTGCAATTAATGCATCCCAAGTTTACCAGCCCGTATAATTGCATCAGCTGGCCCTTCCCTCCTGGAGGTAACCACACACTCAAATGATGGAGTCATATTTCTCAGCCACTGTCACCCAACATGCACTGTTGAGTTGTCCTTCGAGGGTAGCCCATGAGCCATTCTGGGGAGTCCTGTCGTAGAAGCAAGAGGCTGAGACAGGCTGGGGTGCAGATCAGGAGTTGGAGGGGTGTACAGTCGGGTATGGGAGCATTTCTGCACACCCAGAGAACACCCTAAAATACTGAACTTTAATGAGTCAGGCAGCCAGCAAGAGCGTGCTGTGTTTCAACACTGCCAACTTCGACAATAGATTCTCCAAAGAGGAGGGGTTTATTTGGGGACAGGTGTGGCTCTGGAGATACCAGAGCTGTGATTCTTTAGGTGCATGCCCCACGAGGTCAGGCCAGAGGAAGAGCAGCCTACGCCGTGTTTTCAAAACAGGACAGCAGTTTCTGTCTATCATAGAGACGGCTGCTCGGCCATCCTCACAGAAGTACTGGTCTGTGCCTGGTTGTGGTTCTGCCAGAGCGTTTTGTGAGAGCTCTGGGTATCAGACTCACATACATGAGACCCCCACCTCTGCAATCCCCTCAGCTTTATTTATTCCTTCTTTTTGGCAGTTTGACCCACGCAGCTCCATTTCAGTGGAGAAAAAAGCAGGAGATACACGCTGAGGAGCCCAGTGGCTGCAACAGGCATCCACCAAGGCACAGCTGATGGAGCCCATCTCTTCTGGAAGGCACCAGCAAGCACAACTTCAGGTGAGGCCCAGGGTCCCTCTGCACTGGAACAATCAGAGGGGCACATCTAACCAGTGAAGAGGGTCCCTTAAGCCACCTGAGAATCTGCATTTGTCACAAGCTGTACCTGGCGCTTCTGACTCACAATAAGGCTTGAGGCAAGGTCTTTGGCATCCTCCACATGGGAATCGTAAAGTCAGCAGTGCATTTGCAAGGCCAAGCAACAGCAAATGTGTTGTACCCCCAAATGCAGCCCTCCACTGACAAGGGATTAACCAGTTGGAATTCGCTCCACCTCCACAGCCTGACTCACTTTACTTCATGATACTTGGTGCTCAAATGGGCACCACGAGGACAGGGCATGATAGGACATAACACCCAGCCACAGGCTGTGGATTTAAACAAAGCAGTTCCCAGCACTCAGGAGGCTGAGGCAGGAGAATCACCAAATCACCAAAGGATATAGAAGCTTGCACTCTGAAGGCAGAGGAGACTTATGGGAAGAGGCTTCTGCTCCAGCTCATTCTTCCCCCAGGTGGCATCTCTGAATTCTGAATGTTTCCCCAGTCCCCAAGACTGCCACTCACTCTCCTTCCTCTTCCCCAGGTCCTCCTAGGGACCGTTCCTGCTCATTCTCCCAAAGGAGCTGTCAGGCTACTCTGGAGGCCTTGGGAGAAGCTTCCTGACATGAAATTCACCAAATGAACTTCAGTTTATAAAGAGTAAGACAGCCAGGGGTAGCACTGCATGCCTGTAACCCCAGGATTCTGGGAAGCTGAGGCAGGAGGATCGCAAGTTCAAATCTAGCCTGGGCAATTTAGCGAGCTCCTGTTTGAAAACAACAACAACAACAAAAGTTTAAAGAAGACCAGGATGGGGCTGGGGATTTAGCTCAGCGGCATAAGTGCCTGCCTTGCAAGCAGGCAGTCGTGAGTTCTATCCCCGGTACCGATAAAAAGGAAAAAGACAAAAAAAAAAAAAAAAAAAAAAAGACCAGGATATAGCACAGTACCAAGGCCCTGGGTTCAGTTCTCAGTACCACGTTAAAGAGAGCAAAGAAGGACTTACTCAGGCCCATTTTAAAATCACACATCCTAAATCAGGACTCATGTAGAGAAATCGTGTTAAACACCTTCCGACATGAACACAGTCGAAAGCACCCTAGAGTAGTCGGGAGCTCGCAGCCTCTGCAAACCAGGACCACGCCTCCAGCCCCCCAGCCTCTGGGGGGCGCTGCCAAGCAGTGCCATCGGCCCGGGAGCCTCTGGCCTGGCTCACGTTTCACGTTTCCCTTTTGCGTAACTCTGCGTCGGAAGTCCGATATAGAGCAGCTGAGAAGTAAATGATATTGGCCAGGCTGAAGAGCAAGCACAGGAGCAGGGCGGCCGCTATCTGTGGGAAGGACAGGGGCTGTGACACGGCGAGCAGCCACTCCCTCCTCAGCGCCTTGTCCAGCAGGATGGCCTCCGTCTGCATGTGCGTGGCCACGATCACGCACACGTGGAACAGCTGGTGGCTGTGACCTGCGGCAACACACAAGGGCCTCAGTGGTCATTGCATGGTGGCCTCGGTCAAGGGCCGCGTGGTGGCTGTCACTCAGCGGAAGCGGCAGGGGAGTCAGGACATTCACAGCGGTGGCTGCAGCAAAGGTGGGATAGGGACTCAGTCCCGGGGCACAGATCAGTGGTGACCACCGTACTCGGGAAGATGGACTAAAAGTGTCAGTGGGTGTCTGCTGGACACTGAGAGATGATTTAATCCACAAAATACACCTTAATAAATCTATCTTTAAAAAGCAATAGGAGCTAGGCGTGGCAGCTCACACCTATAAACTCAGTATCGGGAGGCAGGAGGATCGCAGTGAGTTTGAAGCCAGACTGGGCTACCTAGTGAGACCTTGTCTGGTAAAACCCCAGAAGTACAACAAAACAAAAAAAGAAGAAATAGAAAAAACAAAACAAAACATGGGTTCTCTTTTGGTGAGACTGAAAGGAAAGCTGTGTGGTAAACAGACCTATCTCAGGAGACACCTAGGAGGACCCCGGCCTCCATGCAGGAGCAGAGGCCAGAACGAGGGCTGAGAATCCAGTGGAGGCCCAGTGAGTTCCTCAGGGCCCCTTTCTGTCCCCAGGAGGAAGGGACACCTAAGGTACCAGCCTGGCCTTGCTCAGGCTGAAGTTGAGGGCCGTGTGTGCCCCTTGGTCTGTGTGTCCTGCAGCAAAGCGACTTCTCCACGCTGCTTCTCCTGGGGAGGCCACAGATGAAGAACAGAAGGAGCCCAGGCCCTGGGGAGCTGACCCAAGGCTGCAGAGGAAAGGGCTTCCTCCACCTGGCCTGACAGGAATGCGAGGTGTCCCACTTGGGGCCACCAGGCTGGGCCATCAGTTCCCCCAGGGGCCTGGCTCCTACTGAGCAGAGTCAGTGACTCAGAATGGGGCCTTCCCCAATGTCTGGTTCCCACCTGTCATCACGAGTCACCCAGCTCTGCCCCCTTGGCCCTGAGAGGACATGGCAGAGCTGAACAGCAGGACACCTGAGAAGCCAGTGCTGACGAGAGAATACCCAGGGTGTTTCCCCATCACCTCCAACTTGGTTTACAGCCCCATCTCTACTACTTCTAAGTGTGGGGGCAGCGGCCAGGCAGGCAGGAGCGCTGGGCCTGGACAGTGACATCCAGAGTAGCTCCTGTCCCTTTCCCTGCAGCCCCACCTCCCGTCAGCCCTTTGCAGCCACAGCATCAGGGCAGCCTCTCCCCAGCAGGAGGCCCCACCCACTCACCGATGTAGTCAAAGCGACCTGGGGCCAGGCGCTCGGGCAGGTGTGTGGAATACAGCAGAGTGGCCAGTAGGGTCATGGCCATGTGCCTCTGGTGGTGCAGGACGGCCTCATTCTGGGCGCTGACCCCCGGGAACAGGAAGAGCTGCAGGTGTGTAGGGAAACATCGGGCCTTGAGAGGGGGCCAGGCCTCAGGCTCCTCCCTTCTGGGAGCCTGCAGGAGGCCCGCATGTCTCAGGCCTGAGCCCAGGGGAAGACACGCAGGACGGGCCACAGGACTTCTGCTCCTAGTGAACCAGGTGAGGTCCAGCCAGCGCCATTCCACCCCCACATGCTCCTTCGGGCCTTGGGTTATTCAGTTATGAAAGAAAAGAAAGAGGGAGGGGTAGGGGAAGAGAAAGGAAGGAAGGGAAAAGAAAATTCATACTGCAGTTTTGCTGCTCTTTTGGGGAGTAGCAGTCAGTAGAATAGGAAGTTGTCTCTTCACACCTGAGCTCAATTTTTTTGTTTTATTTTTATTTTGAGACAGGATCTCATTATTAGTTCAGGCTGGCCTTAGACTCACTATATATACAGCCCAGGCTGGCCTCCAACTCAGCAGTGATCCTCCTGTCTCAGCCTCCTGAGTGCTAGGCCTACAGGCATGCTCTGCCACACCAGCGCTATCCCTCCTCTAAGACCCTTATTCACCACACTTTCCTTCAATAGCAATCACACATTAACTGATGATCATATAAGATAAGCACGGATTAGACACTTTGCCACTAGCTGGCACTGTACACTGTATCTTGGAATCCTCCACACACCCGCAAGTGGCGTGATAACATTTCACAGATGGGGGAAATTGAGGCACAGAGATTTTGCCCAGGACTGGCAGCGAGTACCACAGCTTCACCCCCAGAACCTGCTCCCAGCTCCCCTCACCAAATCACAGGCTGCCGGCCCCGCCTGACTACCAGGTCTGCAGGTCCTGCAATGCCCAGTGTGCTCGCCTAACCCCCAGCTGCTCAGGCTTCCCTGGACCCCCGCTGCCTCCAACAGGCACAAGGACGCAGCTGTCCTTACCCTGTAGAAGATGGGGAGAGAGTCCCAGAGGTAGGGGTAGGCGAAGGCCAGGATACGCAGCACCTTGGAAAGCCTAGGCTTGTGGACTTCAAGGAACCTGAGTCAGGGAGGAGAAGGAGGAAACAGAGACAGAAGGAATTTCAGGCGCTCACGCACATACATACCAATAAACCGTGCGCTGTCACCCACACAGCACAAGCATTTTGCACAACCTCCTGTGGCCAGCAGCTCCTTCCCTAGCCCCTGCCATCTCCTCCTTCAAGGAAGCGACAAACCCTGGGCTGTGGAACTCATCCTGCAAGGAGCTTTCTGAAAGCCCAATGGCCATCAGGACAGGGGTGGGGGCTGGCACAGACCCTCAGGAGCACATGGTGCTAGACTGAGCCACATCTAACCAGAGGAGCTCCCAGGTGATGCCCAGGGGGAGACCCACGTTTGCCAGGTACCAGGCCGCCTGGAGGATTCCTGGGGTGTTTATTCTGCATGCAGTTGGCAGCCTGGGTGCCAGGAAGGCCATAGACTCTGAACCGAGGCTCTGATTAGGAAGCCCTGGTGGGCCCCAGCTGGGCCATCAAGGCTGCATGCATGTCCTGGGCCACAGGGCTGCAGATGGGGTCTCCAGGCTCAGCATGGGTGGCAGGCAGAAGCCACTGAAGACCCTTACCTCCCAGCCTTTACTGGCAGCTCTGTCCTGGTGCTGTGCCCTGTCAGCAGCACCCCAGACCCTCTGCCCCAGCCCACAAGCCGGCCCAGACTGCCCTCTCTCCAGCACCATCTGCTGCTCTCACTAGCACCTGTGATCCCAGCACTCCCTCTGGCAGGGTGTCTCTGCTTGACCCAAGACAGACACCTGACAGCATCCCAGCAGCACCTAGAGAGACTTCCCCAAAGGCAGAGGCCAGGGCTGGCAGGTCAGGCTCTCCACAGCCTGCTGCAAAGCTGCCTGAGGTCCATCCCCAGCCCTGAGTGCATGGGGCAGAGAAGGCGATTCCTGTTCCAGGGAGGGGACAGGCCACCCTGCACCCCAAGACACACCCAGCTCCAGAGACAAACCCCAGCTTCCCTCTAGCTGGCCGCAGCTTTCTTTTCTCCTGGCTCTGCCCTTGCTTGGGAAACACAGCAGGGTTGGGGTGCAGAAGGAAGGGAAGCTGGCAGGGAGAGGAGGAAAGCTGGCGGGGAGAGGAGGAAAGCAAGGGCCCGCAGTTTCTCACTCCCAAAAGGAAGCACAGCCTCTATGAAATCATGCAGAAAAGGTGGCCATGCCGCATAGCAGTGTCACAGCAGCAGGTGGGCAGGTCTCCCTGTACCCCAAGGCCTCATGGGCAACCGGGGTGGGCAAATGACTGCTCCCCACTCACACCGCAGGCTCAGGACCCAATGGGACAAGGTCCCAAGGGTGAATAAAGGCCTGCAAAGCCTGGCTCCCCATGCAGTTTGAAAAAAGCATGCGTGTGAGTCTGTGTCCTCTCCCATCTCAGGGCTGCACTGGGGCCAGAAAGAAGGGGTGAGAGGGCTGAAGGCTCTAGGTGCTTCCCCTGAAGTCGTGAGGGAGGGTTTAGCCCAGGGCATCGACCACCCACCCCCAACTTTCTCATGCCCTGCTTCTTCCGTACCTCTGACTCGGGGCCAAAAGGTGCACACACCCACCATCCCAGGGGCCCGGGCGCCTGCCTCAGCCTACCCTGGCAGATGCTGCCTGGGCGTGCAAGGTCCCCTGGGCACAGCCACCACAAGCCATTTACCAGACAGAGAGCTGTTTCGGACCTGGGTTCCCCACAGCCGCTCACCCAGGGGCCGGGGAGTGGCTGCAAGGTGCAACTTGAGAAATCGAACCTGGCCTGAAAAAATGTTTCCCCAGGGGCAAACAGATCAGCTAGTTCAGCTGCAGAGCCAAGTTCACAGGTGGAGAGAGAAACGGCAGAACAACGGAGAGAACAACAGGAGGAAAAAGCACAGCACTGGAAGCCAGAGCTGCTTCCAATACCAAGGTACCAATACCAAGGTGCAATTCCACATCAGGCCACAGGGTGTCGCCACAGCCAGAGGAACCAGGAGCGACCTCCTGCACACCCTAAAAACCCCAAAGCACCCCCATCTCTGCATTCTAGGATGAGGGGCTGGTTCCTAGGAAGCCGGACCTCCTGCATCCAGAACAAGGGTGGCCGGAAACACGAGATTAGGGGAGAAGCGTCCCTAAGGATAGGGTTGATCAGATACAGCTGTGATGCAGCTGAAAGGATTAACAGCTGGAATTTGAGGCCTTCAGCTGCAGGGAGAGGGCTTGTGTTTCCTCACTCCATCCCTCAAATGCTACGGCATGGCACACAGAGGCTGCTGTCTGAGCATTCTCATCTCAACCCATCCCAAGACACCAGGGGCCAAATGCCTGGCCATGGCAGCCGGGGCCCAGGCCCTGCTCTCAGTCCTCTGGTCCTGAACTCATCAGGACCAGCGGCTCTGTCACTCCCCAACGTGGGGGAAGTGAGACAGGCCTGGTAAGAGCAGGGACACCTCTGAGGACCTGGAGATAGGGAGAGATCACTGTCACCACAGTGTTCCCCAGCCGTCCTGAGGCCCCTTGCTGTCTCCGAAACCTGAGCCCAAAGGCCTTTTCTTCCCTCCCTTGAGGCAGAAGTGTCCACCTCCCTCCATGCTCATGCCTGAGGCCATTGCTAGGGCCCTGGGTCCCCAGGCAGTTGACACTCTGCCCACTATACTCTAATAGAAGGGCGGCCTCTCCTGGACTCTGGGGAGTCTGTGAATGGCTCTGCCCTTCACCCTCCAAGGTCAAGGGCAGGACTTGCTCCTCGCTGCAGCTCCAGACAGGGCCTGAGAGGCCGTGCTGCTGCCCACCATGGAGCCACCTCAGTCCCTGGAGCAGTCTGTGCTCCCCCCAGCCCCTTCCCAGCTGGTACCTGGAATAGCAGGAGAGGCCAGTGCTGAGGCTAGTGTTGAACACGGCCAGGGCCACGTAGTAGTCCCGGAAGGCCGAGCGCACCAGCACGTCCGGGAAGGTGTACGCGGAGTAGGCAATGGCCGAGCCTGGAGGAAGAACCAGCTGTGGGAAGGAGGCCAGGCCCGGGCACCGCAGGGACCCCTGACCACCTCCCATCATCCCTCTGCCCGAGAACGAACTGCTTTGTACATGCTAACTCATTTATTCTTTACAGCATAGAGAGGTTTAGTATCACAGCAAGGGGCACACAGCCAGCATGGGGCAAGGCCCAGCCTCAAGCAGGCACCTCAGCAAGAGTGTCCGCCCCTGACCACAGTGCTGTCCCCACTGTGCCCAGCTTACGTCTGAGTGTCACAGCTCACCAGCCCCTTCAGTGACACTGGGGTGAGAGGGTGTGAGGGGGAGAAGGGGCTGGGGGTGGAGCTCTGTTCCTGGTCAGGGGGTCTTTAGGAGTTACAGGCCTATCAGGAAGAGTAGGGAGGCCTTTGTGAGGGTCAGTCCAAGGTCATGGTGAGCCCCAGACATGAAGAACCAGGATGGGCAGTGGCCACGCAGGCTCAACCTCTGCTCCCGAGGGCTGTGGCAGGGCTGTCACTCGGATGGAGGCCACGCCCCTAAGTGTCCCCAGGAGGGGCCTGGGGTAGCCAAGCCCTCCCAGCTGCCACTGCCCGGTACATGCTGACAGCCAAAGGTGTGCAGCAAACACGGGTGCGACACAAGTGCCAGGGGCCTCAGATCTGCTCAAACTACAGCAGAGCTGGCCACAGCCTCAGGACAGAGCCCGAGGGCAGGGAAGGCTGGGTGTAGGCCCAGTAAAGGGAGCTTCCTCTGGCCACAGCGAGGACCTCAGGTCTGTCCAGGTCTGTGGAACTGCTATGGGACAGCTTGTCCATGTCCCCACTACTCTGCACCTTGCCATGTCACACAGGGAGCTGGAAGTGAGCTGCGGGAGAGCATCTGCACCCTAGAAATCAGCAAACACTGCAGACCAAGCTAGGGTCTCCAGACAGCCAGGTGCTGGCTCTAAACCTTACAAAACCCTCAACAGCACCTAGGCAAGGCCCTGGCCTCCACTGATTCCCCGAAAACCCACGAAAGTCTGCTGGGAGCCCAGCTCGAAGGGTGGGGGTGCCAAGCCTGTACCCAGGCTGAAGAGATTGACGGCACCATAGTCCAGGAAGTAGCAGATGTGCCGGGCATTCTTGGACATGGAGCTGAAGGTGTGCGCGCAGCTGGATGCCAGGGGGTACACACAACTGGTGCACATGTACACAAGCATGGGCCATGAGTAGCTGTCATTCCAGATGTCTGTCATGCACAGCACAGTCACAAACCTCCACGCAAAGAACCTGAAACACAGCATGGATCACCTGGTCATCTTAGACGCCTAACCCATCTTCCTGCAAGCCTTTGTTCTAGGGAAATACCGCCAGGCAGGGAGGGTGGGATCCCCCCAACTGCATCTTACTCGATTGATTCCCTAGCTTCTCTTGCATACCTCCAAAGGTGGGGGGCTCACCATCTCCCATGGCAATTCTGAGTATTAGGTTAGGGCCAACACACAGCTGCCTGTCACTGACATGTAGGGTCCCCCACCACTCTGTATCTCACTACCACAAACTACTGCTGGGGGGCCAGCTCCTGCTCCAGGAAGGAGGCTATGAAGCCCTGCAGCTGGGAAAAGGAGTGTGGATAAACCCCCTGGCTACACTTGCAGCTTTCTCCTCCAGCTGCAGCAGGAAGACTTGGCCAGTTTAACTGGCTTTTGCTTTTCGCTTTTTTAAAAAATTTAATCTCAAGCTTGCTCCATAGGCTGTTTTCTCTAAGGTGTCTTCAGGTGCATTTGCCGTCGGCTTCTAATATGCTAGGCTGCTGAATCAGGATGTATCTAAAAGCCTAGCCTGTGTGTTGGGGAGCCGTTACAGTGTTGGGGGGCCTGTTTGGCTCCACTTTAAAACAGCTGGAAAGTCATCCCCCCAGGATCTGTGCATGGCCCTGTGGGCCCCGCACTGTGGAGCGGCACAAATCTCAAACCAGCCTGAGCCAAGCTTGCTCCATCCACAGATCAGAAACCCCTGCGGGGGGTCCCTTCCATCCTGGAAGAGCTCAAGATGACACGAGGAACAGGGAGGAGAACTAGGCACCCCAATAACCTCCGGGAGGAGAACTAGGTCCCAACCGTGCCCTTCCGCAATGTTACAGGTTAGTACATGAAGCCTTTGTATACGTACAAAGTTAACATCATTTAAGTGCCCTCCTTAGCAGGACTTGCTGTCCCCTTGCTCAGGCTGCAGAGCCCTGGGCTGTCAGGCCTCACTACTGATCCCCCTGCTCCCCCTCTAGCACCCCAGAAAGAAGCTGCCTTGGCCCTGCACAGAGTGGCTGCAGGACCAGCCTCCTCTGCTTCTGGCCCTGGCTGTGTCTTTGGACTTCTGGTCAGGCTGACCAGCCACCACCTGTACTCTGGATCTCTTTCACTCTGTGTCTCCTATGATCTTCATGGCCCAAATGACCCCCATGGCCCGCCCAGCTCTGGTACTCACTGCCCCACCCTGTCTGTGGGTTCCATGTCCTATCCTTGGACTCAAGCAACCACAAATCAAAATATGCAAGGGCTAAACCTGCATTCATGTGAAGCATGCACACTCTTCCCTCCCATTCCCTAAGCCATGCCACAGAGCTTCGTGTCACCCCGGGAAGTCTCAGTAGCCTGCAGATGGTGTGCAGCATGCAGAGGCTGTGCACAGGAGACAAACAGATGCGCTGCTGCTTTGCATGAAGTATGCACAGACTTCGGTATGGACAGGGTCCATGGACAGTCCCTAAGGACACTGGGACAGCCATGTGACGACATGGTCGAGGGTGCCCTCTCAGCTCTGTGCTCCTCAGGTGAGGTGGGTGTGTGACAAGGACCCCCAGAGCTGACACCCACTGCCTGGGGCCCAGAACCTTTACTCATCTTCCCCCTGTCCTCATGGCCACCCCAGGACAGTCACGCACCCTGCAGGCCACATCTGCTTCACAGCAGCAATGCGCCAAGCTCAGAAGGGTTAAGCGACTTGTGCAGGCCAGTGATGTTTTAACCAGGTCCCACAAAGCCTCCACCACTGAAGGGGGCTCAGTGCTCAAGGCCCCCTGGAATCCCATGACTCATGCCCTAAGACTCATCCTGTGGCAGGCCCAGCCTCTCCCCTCCACCCCACATTACCCACACCCAAGGGGGCAGTATCCCCAACCCCAGTATAGGCTCTCAGACTCCCAAACCCAGCTGTGTTTTTTTGTTTGTTTGTTTTTCTTTTTCTTTTTGAGACAAAGTCTCGCTATGCAGTTCAGGCTGACCTGGAGCTCCTTGGTAGCCCAGGCTGATCCTGGAACTTACAATGATTCACCTGCCTCAGCCTCCCAACTGCTGAGATTATAGGTATGCGCCACCTCACCCAGTTACCCACTTGTGTTTTAAAGTACCCGTGGTCCCTGGGGTCCCAAATGGTCAAGGGGGCAGGAAGATACCAAAAGGGCAGCAAGTGGGTCCAGATGTTGAGGGTCTCATTGGTCAGCTGGAACAGGCTGAGCAGACAGGCAGCGGCAGAGCTTTGTGGATGCCGGTAGCCAAAGAGGATGCCCCGCTCATGGAACACCTGCGGAGAGAGGGCAGAGTCTCAGGCCAGCCCCACAGCCATGCCCAGGTTCCCTGCAGCCGGACCCACCCCGCCCTGTGGATAGCCCCATGGTCTCTCTCTGCCCTGCCTGGGCTGAGCTCTGAAATCCCTCATCTCCAAGAATTGCAGACGTGCTTACTCTTGGCATGAATATCGCCCAAGGATCCAAGTTTGCCCTCTCCGCCTGGGGTCCACAGCTGGTCTTCAGGAACACGGTCTTCTTTAGAGCTTGGCTAACATAGGTGCTGCCATCAGAGTCCGCAGGGCCCAGGGTAGGGGCCGGCAGAGAGAGCTCAAGGCACGCCCCGCCCCCCCAGCGCCATGGCATCCCAGCATGCTTCACAAAGGCCTTTTGATGATGGAGCCCATGACACTCATGCCTACATTGTGGCCTGGCTGCCACAGGGCCACAGAGCTGCCCATAACCACAGAAAGCCCTCTGAGCAAGCTCCCCAAAACTATGGGGTACCCACCTGTGAGTATTGTCTTACATCCATTAAAAATGGCAACCAAACTTGGAAGGGAGGTGCGTGCCTATAACCCCAGCACTCTGAGAGGCTGAGGCAGGAGGATTGCGAAGATGGACTGTGTCTCAAAATGACAAGGGGGAGGTCATATAGCTGAATACAAAGGCCCTGGGTTCAGTTTTCAGTGCTGGGAAAAAACAACCCAAAATCAAACAACAACAACAAAAGAAACAAGTAACCAAGAGGATAAGAGCTCAGGACACAGTAGTAAATTAAGACACCTGGAATCAGCTCTGTTCCCACCAGGAGAACTATGGAGATGGAAAATCGCATGGTGTGGCAGAGGCCGGAGGGAACACGGAAGGGTGAAAGTAGCTGGTGTAGTCATAGGATTCCACGACCATCTTTTCCTTTGTGTTGCCTGAGGCCAAGGTTTCTACTCTATATTTGGTGGGGGAGACACTGGAGACTGAACCCAGGGCCTCACACATGCCAAACAACTATCCTACCACTGACCTACACCCTCCGTTTGAATTCCACGAGACAGCATTTCATTACATCACAGGGGCAGGCCTCAAACTTGTGATCCTCCTGCCTCGGCCTCCCCAATTGCCAGGATTAGAGTTTTGTGACACCATGCCTGGCTTCACGATTTCTGTCTTGGCGCTACCAGCATTTTGAGCCCCGTAAGTCTTCACTGTGGGGCCTCTTATGGGCACTAATCACCAGACGCTGTCTGCCACCGGACGCTGAGGGCCCACGGTGTGCTGCCAATATGCCCCGACACTGCTCAAGCCCTCTGGGGCCCACATCTCCTCCCCCAAGCACCAGTGACTTAGACTTATGAGGCTGGAGCCCTTGAAAGCTCAGTAACACGTGAGCTGGTAGAAGAAATGGTAACCCTGGTCACTACGGTATCTGTCAGCTTACAATGCATTGCAATGCTTTCCCTTTGTTTTGTGAAGGGAGAAGGGCAACAGTGGAAAGATTCTAGCTTTGCCCTGTTTCTCACTTGCATCTCTGTTAAGAGAGAGAGAGGCCCCATTTAAAAATATGCAGCCTTGCCACGTGTGGTGATGCATGCCTGTAATTCCAGCACTCGGGGTGGGGGTGGGGCTAAGGCAGGAGGGTCACCTCCAGGCCAGCCTGGGCTTCACATCCAGTTCAAGGCCAATATGCACTACAAAATCGGGGCTGAGGATTTAGCTCAGCGGCATAAGCGCCTGCCTTGCAAGCAGGCAGTCGTGAGTTCGATCCCTGGTACCGATAAAAACAAACAAAAAAAGACAAAAAAAAAAAAAAAAAAAATATGCACTAAAAATCAACAGACCGGATCTGACAGGCTGTGATCTGTGGTTGAGCATGGGATTAGCAGGCCTGAGGTTTGGCGTTGAAGCCTCAGCACTGAGACCCCAGAAAAGACAGCGTGAAGTTGGACAATGGTCCCAAGAAGAAATACTGGTTTTTTTTGGTACCAAGGATCGAACTCACGACCTTGCACGTGCCAGGCAGGCACTTAGGCCACTGAGCTAAATCCCCAGAAAAACTGTTTAAATCAGCCTCAGGTCTTAGTTAACCGAAAAGACTTCTCCCTGTTTCTGATTCACCACTGAACTCTGCTAATGTCCCGGTTGACAGTGGGCAGACTCCCAGAATCAGCAGGAGGAGAACAAGACTGCCCGTCCTCCTGCCCTCAACCTAAACCTGTGTACAGAACCAGATTGCCAGACCTGACCCCACTGCTGCTGGGGAAAGGTGACAGCTCTTTCTCCCCCTCTTGCCCCTCAGCCTTTGCAAAGGGCTCTGTATGGAGCAGATCTTCATGGAGAGAACACGTGCCGCGAACACCCCAGCTCTGCATTCCAAGCCAACCCCAGCCGGCGCCAGCCCACCATCAGCTCCGGACCCCACAGCACGGTCTCGGCTCCAGGCACCCAGGTCTACAGCCGCTGCTCATCTACACAGTGGAACTGATCTTCAGGATTCTGCTCCAGTCACAGGCCGGGCAATTTAAAGTGAAATGAAATCAAATGAGATCACAGCAGCCTTCTATGTAGGAGGGAAAAGCACAGGATGGACAGGCGCAGCTGTGATTTTCCCTTTTGTGCCGCCACGGGCTCAGCACGTGTGTGGCTTCCTGGCAGGAGAGCTCTCTGCACTTCTGTGACTTGATGTCTGAAACTCTAGGGGGAAGGTTTAAACCCTCGATGATTCCAGTTATTAAACTGCATATTGCTTCCGGGAAAATAACCGAGTGGCGGTAAAGAAGAGCAGGTTCTGATATCGGGAAAAGTGGGGTGGGCAGGGGAGGGAGGGGAGGCAGGCAGGCAATGTCAGGGTGCACCCGGCATTTCCCATTCGAGACTCACGACATCCACAGCCACCAGGTAAGGAGAACTCGCTATGTACCCCAGGCTGACCCCAGGCTATGTACCCTCCTGCCTCAGCCTCCCGAGTGCCATCATACTGGGTTTAAGAGGAAATCTGGGCTCACAGAAAGGCACTGTGAGCGTATGTGCATAGAGAGGACTACGGGAAGATGCAGAGAGAGGGTGGCCATTTGTGACCATGAGACAGAGGTCTCCAAGGGATCCAAACCTGCTAACACTCTGTTTTAATCACTTTCCCAGTTTTTCAATGAAATGCATGGCACGTACAACTTAAGAGAAGTTTTCTTGGCTCACAGTTCAGTCCATGCTCAGCAGGCTCCCAGGCAGCAACAGGATGCAGAGGGCCCTAGCAGAAGGAAAGGCGCTTAACCCTTGGCTGCCAGGAAGTTGAGAGGGGGGAGCCAGGACAGGACTCCTCCCTCCTAAGCCACGCCCCCAAGAGGAAACCACCTCCAATCAGGCTCCGCCTCCTGACCGCCCAGTCAGCCAGGGACTCATCCATCAGTGGGGTGAATCCACAGATGACCACAGCTCTCCCGTGACCCAGTCACCTTCCACACAAAGAGGAGAATCTGGGGTATACTTTAGATCTAAACTAAGACTTTGATCCTGGATTTCCAGCAACAGACAACTGTGAAAAGATAACCTTCCGAGTCCCTTGAACTATGGTTTGTTTTGTTTTTGGCAGCCCCCCTCAAAATAAGTACAGGTGCTGAGGTTGTGTGACACTCTTCCAAAGCCAGCACCATTTGTAGCCTTGCTCTGAGGTATCTACCTGTCACAAAACACTGTGCTTGATGGCTGGTGCTAGAGTCTGCACTCCTCACCATCTCCCAAACCTGCTCCTGCCTCTGTCACCTTCTCTCCCAGAATGCAGTTCGTTCCCTCCCAGGATGCAGTTCACCTCAGAAGGAAAGAAGGAAAAGTGACAAGGTAACCACAAAGACACAGGCATGGAAAGCCAACCCAGAGAATAGATGGGAGGCTGATAGGGGCCTGCACCTAGAGGGCCATTAGAGAGAGGCCACCAGGTTGGCTTTGAAGCTGGAGAAAGTGAGTGAGGGGCCAGCAACAAGGGCAGCTCTAGAAACTAGAATAAGGTGAGGAATAGTGCTGCCCTGCAGCCTCATGGACACCATGATTTCAGCTAGGCCTGACTCAGGCCAGACTTGTAACCTACAGAACCCTAAGAGAATTAACTTTTTGTTGTGCTGTGTTTTTGTAGCACTGGGGATCAAATCCAGGACACTGTACATGCTGCGGTGAGAGCTGTACCGCTGAGCCACACCCCAGCCTATCTGAATTTGTTGTGGTGGCGGCTGTGGCGGTTACTGTGGAGCAAACCAGGGCATTGCGTATGCCAGGCGAGCGCTCAGTTCCACCATCTTTTTTTTTTTTTGGAGTTTTTTCCTTTTTATCGGTATCGGGGATTGAACTCACGACTGCCTGCTTGCAAGGCAGGCGCTTATGCCGCTGAGCTAAATCCCAGCTGTTTTGCTTTTAAACTATTGGATTTTTCTAAACCAAAGGAGCTATGCAGAAAATACACAAAAAAGGTGACATTCTGAGAAAATAAAATTCAAAAAAGAAACCAAAATGTAGATTGTGGTAAAATTTTGCTTGTTTTTTTTTTTTTGAGACAGGGATTTGTGATGCAGTTCCACTGGCCTTGAGCTCACTCTGCAGCTCAGGCCAGCCTTGAAGTCAAAGGAATCCTCTTGCCTCAGCCTCCCGAGTGCTGACATTACAGGTGTGCAGCATTATTCCTGGCCCAACTGCGGTATAATCTTGACCAAGAAAATCCTGCTATTTTCAGCTTTCCTTAACAAAATAGTAATACTGTAATAACTAGATATTGCTTTAGAGAGGAAAACAGCAATATGAAAAGGTGGCCTATGTGAAATTAATATTTTTTTGTGTAATATAATTCTATGCACTCTTATTGCAGTGATTCATTTCTGATTCTAAGTGTGGATCTGAGAATATTTTTTGGTAATTCCAGCTGTTCTACCCCAGAAAAACTGAGCAGAAACTCCAAAAATATCTCTCAACTGATTAACCTCTCTCTCTCCCTTTCTCTCTCTTGCTTTTTGGGACAGTATCGTCCTATGGAGTTCAGGGTGAACTTGAATTCACCATGTGGCCCAGGCTGACCCTGAATTTGCAGGAATCCTCCCACATCAGCCTCCTGAGTGCTACAATTATAGGCCTGTGTCACCATGCCAGGCTAATTTCTTTAGTACCTACCTAAGAATTGTAACAATTCAAGAATGGTGATCTTGTTTGATATCTTTGTCAACAAAACAAATTATATGACAATGTTGATTTAAATACCATAATCCATAATCTTGCTGAAATTAAGAAAAAGAAATTGTATGGAATAAATGTAATAATTTATGTGAACTATGCATGTTTCGTTTCATTACATTTTCTTTTTTTTTTTTGTCTTTTTCGTTTTTATCGGTACCAGGGATCGAACTCATGACCGCCTGCTTGCAAGGCAGGTGCTTATGCCGCTGAGCTAAATCCCCAGCCCCGTTTCATTACCTTTTCAAACAGCACTAACCCATCAATGTGACATCCAGATATGTGCAGGAATTCAACTCTTTTGCTCTTGATATTTTGCTGACATTAGCCCTGTAAATAAGAAGCCACATGGGGCATGGTGGTGCATATCCATGATGCCAGGACTCTGGGAGGCTGAGGCAGGAGGCTTCAAAGTTCAATTTAATGACTTAGCAAGACTCTCTGTCAAAAACTAAACAGGGTAAGAATGCAAATCAGTATAAAGACCCTAGATTGAATCCTCGGTACGGGGAGAGAGAGAGAGAGAGAGACAGAGAGAGAGAGAGAGAGACAGAAAGAAACAAGAAAGAGAAAAGGATAAAAGAAAAGGGAGGAAGGAATGTCACCCTTCATGAAGCTTTCCAGGCCTGCTGCTCCTCCAGGACAAAAGCATCCAGTCACACCTCTAACACTGTGTGTCCCCAACCTTTACAAGGCTCTTGCCTGTTTGCTAATCTTCCGGACCCTCGCAGGAGCGAGGACAAGATTTGCACGCAGGTGTCCTCTGGATGCTGTGGAGCAGCCTGATGCCCACCAGAAGCAGTCAATAATAACACTGTGGATAAACACATGGAGCAGTCACCCTGCACCCCCATTGGTCACCACCATGATGCTCTGCCGGCGGGGTCACCCCCAGGGTGAGCAGAGGCCCGGCTTGGAAACGGGCTCCCACTTTATGGACTGTACTCATTTCCCCCAGCAGCCACTGTTACCTTCCTGGGGTCACCTCACATCTTGGGGTTTGGGTTCAGCCTTGCATGTGTCTATTTTGAATCTTCCACATGTGTTGCTGAGTTCGGTTAGGGATTACTGGGGCGGGGGTGAGGGGACACAAAACCAAAAGTGCTTGGCAGTCGCCAGGTGGTAAGGGGCATTCAGCCTCCCCAATCCCATCCCCCACAGTGAAACTTCCTGCCCAGTAAGCTCTCCTGTTTTCAGTCCCCAAGGAGAGGAATCTGCCACATGTGACTAAGGTGCAGCAACAGGGAGAAGGAGGTCACTCAATGTCCCTGATTGTACCGATGATACCAAGGAAAGGTGGCACTAAGGTCCCCTCACCAGCCCCTACCATCACCCTGACACAAGTCTGGCCTGGGCATTCTGCAAAGAACCCAGATGACAGCAAAGCCACAGATGTGACTGCAGCCCAGTCCTGCTTTCAAGAGGCCACACAGGGCCCTAAAAATCCTCCCCCCCCCCCCCCCGCGCCAATGGTGTCAGCATCCTCTCGACAGCCTGAATCTTCGACCTGGACAGTGACTTTTCTTCTGGAAGGGGTGCGGGTGTTGTAGGAAAGCCACAGCTTCTGCTGCTGGGGACACATCTGTTTCCAGTTTGGTGAACTCGAGGAAGATAATGATTTTCCCAAGAGGCTGTAACGGCACCCTACAGGGAAGGGGGCTGCCAAGAGCATGAGACAGCAGTGTCCCCGCTGCAGCACCAAGCCCTAGCCACACTCGGGGCTCAGCTGGAGTGAACTCGGCACGTACCTGGGGCACCTCGTCTATGTTGAACAGCCTGGGGAGCTTCAGACTCAGCATCTTGATGCCTGGCTGGCAGGGCCAGTCAGTAGGGGACAGCCCCTGCCTGTCACCAGGCCTTGCTCAAAGCGTCGCTATGCCTGGGGTCCCAGGCTGCATCCCTGAAAGAAGACATGGAGAAGTCAGGTCAATCACTGCATAACTCCAAATAGATCAGTAAGTTTGACGACTGGCTATGCATGCACTAGTGACATCAACATTGAGCTTCCTTAAACCCTGAAACAAGCCAGGTGTGGTGGTGCACACCTGTAATCCCAGCACTCAGGAGGCTGAGGCAGCAGGCTTGCCATGAGCTTGAGACCAGCCTAGGCTACATAGGAGTTCAAGGTCAGCCTTAACTACAAAGTGAGACCCGGTCTCAAGAAATTAATAAAATACATACATACATACATACATCTTTTTAAAGGGCCAAGACTATAGTTCAGTGCAAAGCTTCAAGTTTCATCCCAATACTGATAAGAAATCAAGAAAATAATGAAAAAAGTGGTGTACCCCCGGTAACCCTAACGCTTGGGAGGCTGAGGCAGGAGGATTTCCATGAGGTCAAGACCAGTCTGGGCTACATAGTTCAAGGCCAGACTGAACTATATAGTCCCTGTATTAAAAAAAAATTAAGACTTTCAAATAAACTACCTCACTATGCGAATGGACCACGGTACAGTGTACCCTTGATCTTCCCAATTGTCTCTCACCTCAGACCTACCAGCCACGCACCTAGTGGCCGGACAAGGGACAAAGATGCAGGATTGGGGGAACCCTCAAATGGTCCTGGGAACCAAGAGCAGGGCTCAGAGTCCCACTTGCCAGGGTCCCTTGGTTCCCTTAGACTTGGGTCAATTTCATGGCCAAGGTCTTTATGTCAGCACACGTCATCTGGGTGCAAGCACCAGCTCACACAGAGTAGCAGGGCACAGAACTGAGGAGAAATATACAGAGAAAAAAGACCCCTGTTTGTGACACGGAGTAGCAGGATGCGAGTCCCAGGAGTGATAGAGTAGCGGGATATAAACACCTGCTTGTGATACAGTAGCAGGGTACAAGCCCCAAGAGCGACACAGAATAGCAGAAGAACCAGTTTCTGCCACTGTTGTCTGCAATCAATTGTTCAACAGCCAGGGAAAGAGCTCCCCATGGAATTCTCTATCCCTGCAGGCTGCGGCGCTTTAAGGAAACGCCCGAGCTCTGCTGCTAGAAACATTGCATCCTTGGGCGATAACACTGAACCTCTGGCAGCAGGCACCCTTTTCCTCCACCCGCACCCCGTACAGTGCTAGTCATCCTGAAAGAGATGAACAAGATTGTCCTTGTCTCCAAGAAATGTGTACAAAAGAGGGGAGATAGATACTATTTTCTAAAGAGAAAGAACCAGCAGGACACGGGTTCCCAAACCCTGGGCCACTGTCTGTGTCTTGTTAGGAACCGGGCTGGACACAGGAGGTGACCACCCCCAAGCCTCCATCACCCTCTGAGCTCCCAGTCCTGGTAGATCAGTAAGGCCTTAGACCGCGGGAGCACTGCCCCTGCTGTAAACTGCGCATGTGCGAGGATCTAGTTGCAGCTCCTTAGAAAAAGCGAACACAAGGACACAAAGTCCAGAATGGAATAATAGAAATAAAAAGTGCTCCAAAACATGATGCACTTGAATTGCCCCCAAACCAACTCGTTGCCACGACCCCCATCCTGGCTATGGAAATTTTCTTCTGTGAACCTGACTCCTGGTACCAGAATGATCGGGAACATTTTGCCCTAGGATCTCTGGGTAGGCGGACCAGAGGGACTGAGTGGGAATTCGTGGCCCAAGAAGTCTCCCGCCAGGCGGCCTGCAGGTTGTTGGCTCAGTCCACATGCAGGGGCCATAGGGTGGACCTCAGGCAGCTATTACCCAACTCTCAGTGGCAGGCTCCAATGCTTTAAGAGCCCAAGGGGCTGCTAAGTCCACAAGCAGAGAGTGGGTCGCCCTCCTCTGGAAAATGGATTTCCTGTCCCTAGCCTGTTTGCTCTGTTGGGGCCCCAACCAGTTGGGGCCAGATCTTTGCCACGGTCCATGGCTCCCATGCCCACAGACCCACCTAGAAGTGATGCCTTCCCAGCTCTTGGCAGTCTTTAACTGGGGCACACTGACGTCTCAGATTGCGCCACAACTTGCGACTAACCAGCGTCACCCCACGGAGGGGACTCACACCAGACCAGTACCAGCCCTGTCACCAGCTGTCAGGGTCCCAGCCTTGCTCTCCCATTTCCTGTGCAGACCTGGGAAGTCACGCAGTAGCCCATCTGTGGGCCAGAAGCAACAACAGTGCTTTCTCAAGGGCTGGTCGTGAGGGGCAGGAGAGGTGGCCCGTGCAAGGAGCCCACTGGAAAGAAAGGTTCAACTGCAGCAGCTACTGTTAGCTAATGTTATTTCCAAATGAGAAAATTAAGTTCGTATTTGACACACAAGAAAGCAGACACCTTGCAGACTCCAGGGTCTGCCCAGATCCTGGGACTAAGCAACATGGTGGAGTTGGGGTTTGATTTTCAATTTATCAGAGAAGACCTGTTGGGGACATCAGAATAGAGGGATTGCACCCCCCCCCCCCACACACACAGCTTCGTAGCTTTGTGTCATTTGATTTCCTTAACTTAGTTTGAGGCAGGGTCTCGCCATGTAGCTCCACCTGGCCTAGAACTCACTGTGACCCTCCTGCCTCAGCCTCCTGGCCTCTTTGTATCATTTGAGTTGAGACCAAACCCTGTGGCTGCCTTCAGAGGGACCCTGGCTTATGCCGCATCACAGCAGAATGGACGTACAAACCTTCCCACATTCGTGCTCAGATGAATCCCATGTGAATCCTCTATAGCTGGCCTGTGCCTTCCAAATGCCCCAGTGCTTGTTCCCTGGAGAAGGAGAAGGTCCAGCAGCCCCCCAAACAGCCACTGTTCAGAAGAAAGAATCAGAGTGCTGGCCCCAAGTGCTGGCCCCGAGAACAAAAGTAAATCAGAAAACAAACCCTGTGCACCCTCGGGGGCCAGCAGCCTATAGGGCACGGCAGTTGGGCAGGGCTCCTCCTGAGCTCGTGGTTAGGCAGAGCAGCCAGCTGCTGAAGGCCACCTGGGCCATGTCCCCACTGGAAGCCTTTCAACAAGAGGCTGGAGGGCTCTGACTCAGAGGGGGCTCACGTGGGACTCGGAGTCCTGTGAGGGTTGGGATGAGCTCTCTGCAGAGGCCCATGTCATCCCTGTGCTGTCCTCAGAGGGCTGGGGAGAAAAGTCCCGGGTATGGCAGGTGGGGGCTGCTGTCACCCTGCTGTCCTCCTTCCTGGCCAGATGGTCTTTATGTGACAAAACACAGCACGGGCCTCAGAAGGAAACACTGGGCAGAGGCTCCAGCCACCACGCAGAAGACTTTGTGCACGGTGGGGGGGGGGGCAGCAGCACAGGCCAGGCTGCCTTCAAACTTGCCGCAGTCCTCCTGCCTCAGCCTCCCACATGCTGAGCTCAACTCCCACATCCAGCAAAAAACATATTTGTTCCTGAAAGCCACAGCTGAAAAAAGTTTTTAAAAAGTATGCTGATGTCCCAGGTCACCAGCACTAACTGCAGAATGTAGAGGGCTTCTTGATTCCCTAGTCACATACACCACACTGTCCCTAAGGAGTCTGAGGGGACCGAAGGGCCAGGCACCAGGCAAAAAGAAGGTATCCTGACTGTCCCTGGATTATGCTAACAAGTACCCCAGATAGCCTGCACACAGAGAATGTCCTGCCCTATGTGGCCAGGGTGCCACGCACAGGGCTTAGGGCACCACCAATGAGTGGCCAGGCATCCCTTCTGCCCCCTTCCAGTTGTGAATGGGCCTCTGACAAGGAAGCCGCCAGCGTGAAGCCGAGGAGGTGCCAGATGTGAAGAGGGGGTTTGTATGCTGGGAGCCAGGGGGACCACGGGTGGGCTTCAGGCAGTTTCTCGGATTACAGGTAAATCGCTATTGTGTGTGTGCTTGCATGCACACAAGTAGCGGGTTTGTACACACATATATAGGCGTCACTGGCAACGGAGCCACACTGACCATCAAATTCTCAGTGATGTCTGAAGCCCAGGAAGGTTTGGGCCCCTGCCCCATATGGCACCTGGTTCACCAGGACTAAAGCTGCCCAGGTCCTGAGGGGCCCCAGGGAGCCCCAACCAGATGGGGCCTAGGCCTGGTGGGGCTGACTTGACTCAGGCAGTCTGTGCAGCTGATGAGGGGCATGTGCCCCGTGGAGACCTGCCCTGCCTTGCCCACTGGCGGGTTGGAGTGCTGACTCTGGGCATGCCCCCCTGTGGAGAACCAGCTCTGCCGGTTGTGCTGGTCCTGCCCTCTGATCTGGGGCCACACCCAGAAGCCAGGGGCGTGGTGCTCACCTTCGCCCCATCTCTTACTGGGCATGGCTGGCACAGTGTCATTTTGGGTCATCAGGGGAGCCCAGGCTGGGGCAGTGGCCCCCACAGCCTCTTCCCTGCAGTTCCTTGGGTCTTCCCACTGTGGCTGGGGACAGCTCAGGGACAACCCCCAAACTCAGTAATATATTGTGGGTATAGCTGCATTGGAAAAGATGTTGGGCAAGACCCATGGTGGCAGGTGGCCTGGGGGTTCTTGGGACACCATCCCGTGGATGGGGAGGGGCTGCCACGTGCCACGTGCATGGGATGCAGTCCATGGCTCGGTGGTGGTATGGGGACAGAGGAGCAGGTGGCTAAGGTGCACATGGAAGTCACAGGCCAGGCAGAGACAGAGTGCCCTGTCCGAATGTGGCGGGGGTTGGGGGCAGGGGTGGGCAGGGCCAAGGTCTGAGGACAGAGACCACAGAGGGACTCAGAGCCCCCAGGAAGGAGAAGTGGGGTATTGACCTCAGGCTCAGGTTCAATCCCTGTGACTCCAGGGGATTCCCTTATCTCTCAAGTGAAGATAATAAAATCATCATTGGCTGTGTGTGCACGCGCATGTGTGCGTGCACGCATGCAAGGGTGTGTGTGTGTGTGTGTGTAAAATGTGTTTTCTTGTTTAACAGAGCTCAGGGTTTGTTTTTAAGCCAAGCTGCAACTTTTGCTAGGGTGACATCCGTCTGAACATGACAAAATGGCTTTGGCTGCCAATATGTCATTAAATCCAAAAGAAAAAATTGTTTGAATTTTTAGGAAAAAAAATCCCGGTCGGTGAATAATTAACATTCATCTGTAATTTAAGTCAAAAGGAAGGCTAATGTGTCTCGCTGCTTTTTTGAGACAAGGTCTCACTATGTAGCCCAGGCTGGCCTTGAACTCACGGTGATCCTCCTGCCTCAGCCTCCTGAGTGCTGGGGTTGCAGGTGTGCATCACCATACTTGGCTCACGCTGTTTCCCATGCTCTTCTCACACGGAGCCTGGGAAGGGAGCCCCCTAACTCAGCAGGTATGCATACACACACACAGTTCCTTCAAGCTGTGCAGCTGAGAGCATGTCCCCGGGAAAGGTTTGTGACAGTATTAATCCATGCCCTTGGGAATCAAGTCTACCTCAACTTAGAGGGTACAGTGGGATCTGTGCCTTGGCAATCTCTTGTCATGTTCACATGTAACAGAATTTTGGATAGGACCATTAGTTTTCTACTTTAAAATTCTAGGAACAATGGCAAAGAGCATGGTTCTGCCTGTTTTTCTGGGATGAGGGAGCAGATAGTATATAGATTTGTGTTTAAAAATATCAGTGGGGCTGGGGATTTAGCTCAACAGCACAAGCACCTGCCTGGCAAGTGCAAGGTCATGAGTTTGATCCCCAATACCAAACAAAAAACAAAACAACAACAACAAAAACCCCAACAAACTCACAAAAACAAAACTAATGCTGGGTGTAGTGGCACACATCTGTCGTCCCAGCACAGGGGAGGCTGAGGCAGGAGGATCACTGGGAATTCAAGGCCAGCCTGAGTTGCATGCTGGGTTCAAGGTCAGCCTGGACTACATTGAGAGACCTAGTTTGAAAAACAAAAAATCACAACTCCAGCAACAGGAAGTAGATGTTAATGACTCTTGTGACAATGAAACACCAAGGTATTTGCCAGACAGCAAGCATTCAATCCAGGTGGGCAACTGTCACCGCTGTCCCCCAGCGTATGGGGCAGGCTGTCCCCTGTCCATCCCGTCCTGGGTTTGTGGCACTGCCTAGGACACAGTTTCCCCATGGGCTTTGCCTACTTCCCTGCCTGGTGCCATGGTAACAGTTGCCATGGTTATTCTCAGCTGGGCTTTAGGACACAGCAGCTGGGGAGCTAAACCTTTTTAAGCTGTATCCCAGCTCTTCTAAATATTTACCACCAGGATATCACTGCACATCTGGAAAAAGGCTGCGTGCTACAGCTCGTGGCAGAGAAAACTGGGGAAACCCAGAGCTAGCTAGGTCCCTAAGTTATGGTTCCTCCACGCATGGTCATCAAATGTCACTGGTCTTGGGGAAGGGACAGGAGATGGTGTCAAGACAAGCTGTTAAACTAAAAAAGCAGCTCAGGAAGAGCATAAATCTTGGAATAGTATCCACATAACCTGCATTACACCCAACTGTACGCATATATAGACAGAAAATGTTTTGAGGCTGCTCCTCACCAAAGTCCTGAACCCCAGGGGTTCGAGGCCTCCCCATTCCTGAGACATCTCTTGCTCCACCCATTGCTTGAGGCTGAGCACAGCAGCAAAATCCCGTGAGGCTTTCAGGGGCAAAATCAGTTTCCACCCTCTCTACCAGTCCAGCCCTCCAGCCGCCCCCCCCCCCCCCCCCCGCCCCAGCCTGTGGTCTGGCGTCTTCTAGCCAGGGGCTGTCCTGTGGCCTCCACAGATATCACACATCAGTGCTGCACTGTACATTTTGCTTGTTCCACAATTTTTATTTTAGAATGTTAAAAGAAAATCATGAGTTTCCCATAGGTGTAGTGGCACACCCCCGTCATCTCAGCACTCAGGAAGCCGAGGCAGGAAGATCACTGTGAGTTTAAGATCAGCCTGAACTACATAGCAAATATAAGGGCAGCCGGGACTACACTGTGAGACCATGTCTCAAAAAACAAAAATCCAAAATTTTAAGGAAATCATTGTAAAAATAAAAAATAAAATATGAGACAACTAGGACTTTGAATTGTGACTACTTTATGGGCAGGAATGACCAGTTTTTAAGGAGTCCCAATTGTGTCATGGTATACTTTTTTTTTTGTGACACAAGCTTGCTATATAGTCTCAGCTGACCTGAAATTCACGGGGACCCTCCTGCCTCAGTCTCCTGAGCTCTGAGATTACAGGCCTGTGCCCGGCAATCCACATGGTGTAAAGGACCCTTATCATTTAGAGACAGTGACAGGAGAGATGACAGATGAAGTGACAGGATGTGGGTGGGGTAGGGCCCTGTGTGGGGACACAGAAGGATGAGGGATTAGGGTGGAAGCCAAGCCTGGCAGCCACTCCTTCCTCGCCACACCTGCAGATGCTTCCCAAAGGAAGCACTGACGATGTCTACAATCCCTGAACCAGGAACAATGTCCCGAGGCCTCTCAGATGCCACCCAGCCACAGACCGAGTGAAACTGTCACAAGTCTGACTCTGACCACAACCCCGGTCTTTCCTAACGGGTGGATGGTTTCGAAGCTGATACAGGAAATGTGCCATGCTGTGTCAGAATCCTCTGCACAGATAAAACTGAGGGCTTGGAGATGCACCAGAAACGCTTTGGAAACAAGCAATGGCTTCTTATAAATAAAGAACACAGAGTCCCCGAGAAAATGCCAAGAGCACAGTCAGCAGAAAACACAAGGATATCACACAGATCAATCTTCCTCGACCGTGGCAGTGAGTCTAGAAAACTCCTGACTTTTTTAAAGCAGGGTTTTGCTATGTAGCCCAGGCTGACTTTGGACTCATGGGGACCCTCCTGCCTCAGCCTCCTGAGTGCAGGGATTACACACCTGCACCATCACATCCCTTACTGTTTGTATCGTCATGATACTGTCAGCTTTTTTAAAGATTCTGCTTTAAAAGGAATCAAACAGTTTCTCTTTGTTAAGTTTCTATAACTCAAATTTGAGCTTCTGAAGTGCACAGATTTTAGTTCTGGGTTTTTTGCTTTTTCTGCTTTGCGGGTACTGGAGATTGAATCTCAGGGTGCTGTACCACTGAGCTATAGCCCCAGCTTTTTTATTAGTGTTATTATGTCACTTTTGAGACGGAGTCTTGCTGATTGCCCTGCCTGGCCTCAAACTTGCATGTCGTCCCCCGGCCTCTCGAATAGCTGGGACACAGACGTGGGCTCCTGTTCCTGGCCAGTTTTATTTGTGTTATCTGCTAACAGAGACCAGGATGGGAATGTATATTTTGTAAATTTACATGAACTTGGTGTTTTCAGGTGTTTTTTCTGTTTCGAATGATTAAATATTTGGGTTCACTGTTTACATTTTAAAATACATTTTTGTACAACACAAATATTTATGTCAGCTTCGTGTGACAGGGACAGGAATGGGCCTGGTTATTTTATGCACATGGGAGCATGGGTAAGCTCGACTGGGGGGGGTGAGAGGCGGGGAGCCTGGGCTCAGCACAGACACACACACATGCACATGCACACACACGTATGTACACACACACACACACCCAGGGAGGTTTCTGCTGTGGGTCCCCAGGCCCCTGGCAGCCTGGAGCTCCTGGGGCCCAGCAGCACGGAGCCAGGGTGCCTGGTTGGCTCACAGTCCCCACGGTGCTGGCTCCTGGCCTGGATGGTGATCTCTGGGTCAAGGGCGAGCTGACAACTCCACCCTCAAACAGGCAGCCTGGGTGAGCTGCTGCACTGCAGGGGACATAGCATCAGGAGACCGAGAAGAGGACGAGGTCGCAGGTCCCTGGTCCCAGGGCACACGCAAAGCCGAGGCCCAGGCAGAGCCTTGGAGGCCACTTGGCTGACGCCAGCTCTTGGAGCCGTGACTTGGGCAAGGAGTGCGGTGTGGCACAGACAGAGCTCACTGAATGACCCAGGGCCCAGCAACAGCTGGCCTCCCACAATGGCCAGGCAAGGATGCCATCCTGTCCTGAGGGTCTGCTGGGGGCTTCCCAGTTGGAGAGGTGGCTGACAGGTGGCCTCGGAGAGGGCAGAATGGTGGGGTGATACACCCATTCCCTCAGCTCCCCAATGGGCCCAACCTGGCTGCCCTCAGGGCCAGTCCCTTCCCTCTAAGGGAGCAAGCATCCCAGGGAACCTGCCTCCACCCACCGTGTGCACGACGGAGTCTTCAGGTGACCGCAGCAGTGCTTCCCTGGATCCGTCTGGCCTCTCGTGGATGACAGGGTCCCCAGAGCCATGTACAGCTCAGGAAAGGCCCGTGGGGGGGTCCCACAGGAGCTCAGAGAGCCTCAGAGCAAGAAGAACAGAGAAAGGAAGGGAGCAGAAGGGAGGGAAGGGGGACCCCAGAGGGCCAGAGCTGGCATTGGAGAAGGGGCAGCGGAGTCCCCTGGCAGCCCAGGCTGAGAGAGAACAGCAGTGGAGAACAGAGCAGGTACAGCATGGGGTGCAGAGAGCAGCCAGGAAGCAGCACCCATGCACTGCTCTAGGCCCTGGAGCCCCTCTGAAACCCTTTGAGCAAACTCTTCCTTTTCTCATTTTTCAGCAGAGGCCTGAAAGTCATCCCTGGCGAGGGCAGTTTGTTGTCCCATAACTGGCAGCAGCTAGGGCTCCAGGGGTACAGGTCAGAGTAGGAAGGGAGGAGGATCTCCATGCTAGGCCCATCACCAATAGTTTGAGGTACAAGGAGCACAGATCTGTTCACAATGGCTGAGGTGTGGAACCAAGTTCAGTGGCCGAGTGTGTGGATAAAGAAAATGAGGTATAAAAAAAAAATAATAAAAGAAAATGAGGTGTGTAAATACAACGGAGTACTACTCAGCCAGGAAGAGGAGTGACTATAGAGTACTACCTAGCCAGGAAGAGGCCTGCAAGCCATCATTACAGCAAAATGGATAGTACTATAGGTCACTTCAGAAAGTGAAATCAGCCAGACACTGACAGGTTTTCTGCCCCCTTATCCTGTGAAGAAGTGACCCAGATATAGAGTAGTTATTAAAAGAGGCAGGGAAGGGAGGCTGGATTTGACTGGCATTTATTGAAATAGCACACTGAGCCCTATGGACACACCCAGTGAAGACATGTGATTCACACCGAGTGTCACATGCGTGCCTATAATCCCAGCACCCGAGAGGCTGAGGCAGGAGGATCACTGCCAGTTTGAGGCTAGCCTGAGCCACATAGTGAGTTCAAGGCCAGCCCGAACTGTCCAGCAAGACCATACCCCAAAAAAGTAAAATAAAACAAAGTGATATGTTAATCAAAACTCAGACATGGAATAACAGAACTAGAGTGTGTGTCCAAGCTAGGCAGCTCCTGATAGCGAGCTCAGGGTACAACAGGGCTTGGCCCGGGTACAGGAAGCCTCGGGCTTGGCAGGAGCCCAGCCACAGGGCCCGGCCCCGGCTACTCCTGGGCTCCCGGGGCCTCCAGCAGCCTGGACAGGACTCCAGGACAGCAGCCAGGGGGAGGGGGACTGGGGCCAGAGACGTCATGTCGCTGCTTGGGTCACACAGCACGCAGGTCTTGGGCAGGGCAGAAGCCCATAGTGCACCATACTGCCGCACAGAGCCTGACTGCAGTGACTGAGCCTGGAACCGTCCTGCGGGGTGGGGAGGCCAGGGACAAGGCCTGGCCCCAACCCGGCTCCCTCCCCACTGCAGCGTCCCCGAGGCCAGCGCAGCCTTCATGGGGACAGGGTGGCAGCAAGATCACAAGCATCGCAGGGGTGTAAGGCCCCAGGCCAAGCCCAGCTGCCCTCCACACACTCAGCCCCTGAGCTCCTCTCCAGCTACCCTCACCTCCCCAGGACACCTGGACCCTCGGGAGGGCGACTTCCTCCCCACCCTCGTCCTGCCCCCCTTCCCAGACCCACTCAGCCCGGCTTCCTCTTTCCAGCCTGGCCTCTGCCGCCCGCAGCCGCATGGCTTCCGCTCTGCTCCCAGCTGACAGCTGCCTGCCAGGCAGAAGGACTGTGGGTCTGCTCTGGGCAGAACCAGGACACCCATTAGCAACTGCCCTACCCCCTCGGGGTGCCTGCTCAGGGTCCCTAACAACTGGGTCAGGGCTGAAGAGGGAGGGCACCTCCAGAGGAATCCCACTCTCAGAGAGACAACCACCAGCGGGGGTGCAGAGGCCCTAATCCCAATACTCTGGGAGGCTGAGGCAGGAGGATTTCCAGTTTGGGCGAACTTGGGTCACTTAGCATTTTAAGAAGTCCCTGTCTCCCTCCACAGAAACAAAAGCAAAAACAAGAACTGGGGGTGTAGCTCAGTGCCTCAGTGCAAAGACCCTGGGTTTCATTCAAATGGCCCCTCCCGACCAGAGGAAGAATGACAGAGGTAAGGAAGCAGCACACGTGTTTCCTAGGTGGAGGTCTGGGAGGGTGCAGTACTGGCCTGCAGGGCCCCGCACACATACACCACGGGAAGGTCATGGAGAGACATGGAGTGCGACCCGGCTCCTGTCCCGAATGCCACCAGCACCACCGACTCGATCCTGCCTGTTGCTCTGGGTGGCTCTGGTCTCCTCCGCCTCCTCCTTCCCTCTGAGGTGAGGACCCCACCCAGGGAAGAGCTCAGAGCTCAGACCTCAGACCTGCTGGGGTGGAGGGTTGGAGGGAGGATGCTCACACAGGGCTCTATGGGAGGCCAGGAGGCCAAAGCAGGAGGGAAGGAGGCCTGGGCCCGGGGCCCTGATTCTTTAGTCTTGCGTACTCAGCATGGAATCCAACGCTTTCCCACTGAGCTGTGTCCCCGGCTTTTCTTATGTTTGAACCCTCCTGCTTCAGCCTCCCAGAGTGCCAGGATTACAGGTGTGCTCCATGGAAGAGTCGAGGTAGGAGGGGGCAGAGCCTGTGGACGCAAGACCCTTGGCTGCCTCTCCCCAGGCCTGGTGACACAGGGCCGGAAATGCCGAGGGTGTGAGGCGAGATAAAAGGGTAAGTAAGAGAAGACTGCAGGGCAGAGGCACATGCCGCAGCCACAGTGCAGCCCTGGGTCCAGCAGATACCAGTGGACACAGGGAGCCCAAGGAGACATGATAGCCACCCCTCTGCTCACCTTCGATCCCTCCTGGCTGCCAGGCTCGGACCTCCTCAGGCTCCGCCCACAGCAAGCCCCAGAGACACAGCCTCCTCCCTGCTCCCCCAGCCCCGGTCTCCCTCCCATGGGCCAGGATGGCAGCGCACTGTCCCCTCCTGCCTGAGAGCCACCACTGCTCCAGGGAGGGACCCGTTCACCACTCCTCAGGGACCTCCAGGTCCCCCAATCTCCCTCCTCAGTATACATATTCCTTAAAAACAGCCGCACTGAGTTGTATACAGTGGTGCACACCTGTGATCCCACTACTACGGGAGGCTGAGGCAGGAGGATCGCAAGTTTGAGCCCAGCCTGGGCAACTGAGTGGCTTAGTGGGATCCTGCCTCAAAATAAGACATAGAAACAGGGCTGGGGATGGCCTTGGCTCCACCCTGGGTCTAGCGAGGGAGAAACAGAAAGAAAGAAAGGAAGGAAGAAAGGAAGAAAGAAAGAAAGAAAGAAAGAAAGAAAGAAAGAAAGAAAGGAAGAAAGAAAAAAAGGAAGGAAGGAAAGGGGAGGGAGAGGGGGAGGGAGGAGACAGCAAGTTAAACTGTACCACCAACTTGTGCAAAAGGGCCCCCTGAGCTACAGGATGAGCCCCAGGGTCTCCAATCAACAGGCCCCAAATGGGTGCCCCAGGTCTGTCATACATAAACCCCTCTCCAGTGCCACAGCCAAACCCTTTTCATCACCACAGCCCACCCGTGTCCCTGCTGGGACATCCCTGGGGCCCATCCACCTACCTCCACCTCTGCTCCCTAACAGAAGCCTCCGCCCTGTGTGGCATCAGCATCCTTCCCTCCTCCTCTATGGCCTTCGAACCCTAGGGCCTTTGCATGTCTACAACCTGGGCCTCGAGTTGTCTTCTCCGCTGTTATGGTTTGGATAAGTGTCCCCAAGGGCTTGTTGGTTTAACACTTGGTCTCCAAACCATGGCCTCTTGAGAAGTGGTGGAACTTAGAAAGGACAGGACCAGGGGTAGGGGGCAGTGGCACACACCTGTAATCCCAGACCCTGGGAGGCTGATGCACGAGGATTGCAAATTTGAACCCAGCCTGGGCAATTTAACAAGACCTTGTTTCAAAATAAAAAATAGGGCTGGGGATGCAGCCCAGTGGTCAGGTGCAGAGCAGCCCTGGAGCCATTCACATGATGAGTGAATAAACAAAGAAATCAAGACATAAAGCCAGGCAGGCCTTGCCCAAGGTCTCAGGTCTGTCTTATGGAGACACTGGTGGACACCGGTCTCAGTGACTGAAGGCCGAGGACAACACCCCTCCCCACCCCTCCTGAGCCTCTGTGGAAGGGGTTCTCCTCCTTCTTCCCGAGGTCAGCGTGACATCCTTTCCTCAGGGGACCTTTCCTGGCTCCTAATCAAGGGGTCTCAATTTGCCCCCAGGGGAAAATGTCTGGAGACTTTTTTAAGGGTCTCACGGTGTAATCCAGGCTGGCCTTGAAGCCTCCTGTGTGCTGGGATGACAGTCGGGTGCCACCACACCTGGCTTGAGGATAACCCTGTTTTGGCTGGCACGGCCTGCGGTCCTGTGTTATTAGCAACAGAAAACAGCCGCACACCAGGACCTCCAGCAGTCAATGTGGGGAGACAGAAAGCAGAACCGCTGGGGACTGAGGCTGGATGCTTCTGCTGGGGGAGGGTGGAACAGATGTGGCCACAGAGGAGGTGCCAGCGCAGAGCAAAGAGCACATTTCCAGCCTGGTGAGGACGGGCGCAGCTGACAGGGTCCAAGCAGCGTCCTTCAGGATCCGTGTACTTTGCCACAGTGACAAAAAGACGAAGCCACAGAACATGGTGGTGCGCACCTGTAATCCTAGCACTCGGGAGGCTGAGGCAGGAGGATTATTACGTATTGGAGACCAGCCTGGGCTACAAAGTGACTTCAAGGCCAGCCTGAACTGCATAGCAAGACCCTGTCTCAAAAAATTTAAAAAAAGAAAGAAAGAAAGAAAAAAAGAAAGAACCAAAACAGAACAAGAGAACCCCCACCCACGCTGCAAGGTCAAGGCCAGGCCTAGACAGTGCTGTGGGGCCCAGGCTCAAGAAAGAAAATCAGCTGGGCTTAAGCGCTCCCCTGGCAAGCACAAGGTCATGAGTTCGATCCTCAGTACCAAAAAATAAATAAATAAATAAATAAAAACAGTGGCCAACTCCTGAGATTCATTAACAACCCTGCTCTGCTCCACAGTCTTGAAACCCCAAGGTCAGAAGGGATCCCGTGGGCAGAGTTAATAAACAGCTAACTTGGAGGAATAAACAAAATAAACCCAGCAGTGTAGGTCAGCGCAGGCCCCTGTGGGCATGGGTGATTCACTTCCTGTGTCCCTGCCCAGGGCAAAGAGAGAGAGGACCGCGGGAGGCTGAGAAGCTGAGTCCCCCAGCAGGGACCTGGGCTGGCAGCCATGCTCGGTGGTGCATACTCACAATCCCTGCACTCGGGGAGACTGAGGCAGGAGGATCTCAAACTTGACCCGGCCTGGACAGCTTAATGAGCCTCTGTTCCAGTTCAGAAGGGCAGCAGCAATCCTGAAGCCAGCTAGGTGGGGACCAGGGGACCAGGGCCACCTGGAAGAAGCTGCTATTTTGGGATGGAGGGGCTCCAGCCAAGGCCCACAGGGGCTTAGACAGGTGGACCCAGGTCGCAGAGCGCACAGAAGCTCCAATGTCCGAGTCACAGGGGCTGTGACTCTGCAGAGCCCAGCCCAAGTCAGGACCCACGGGGGCAGGACGAGGCTTGGGTGCGGCTCTGGGGACACTTTCTCCCCCCACTCAGGGTCAACAGTGACCGCATCTCTAGCGTCCACTGACCCCCCACTGCCAACCTACGTCACTTCCCAGCGTCTCCCCGGGGTGGGCGCCAGGGTCAGGGATGGCTGACTCACATCATGTCGCAACGCCGTACTTTTCCGTTTGCCATGGCTGACAGCACCAGGATGAGGGACATCCAAGCGTGAAGCTGGGTATCAGGCCAGGGCCTCTCTCTCTCTAGGAGTCATTTCTTCAAGGGGAGCCATATTCTGCTGTCTCCATTGCCTTGACACCTTCCACCTCAGGGCTGCCCCAAAGCTGGAAAACTTCTATTATATCCTTCAAGACCCAACTTCTGGAGTCCCTCCCCCAACTTCAGGCTCAGCAAGTATGTTCCAACTCTGGTTTGGCAAACCACATAGACAATGGAAAAAGAGGCTTATGGTCAATGCTGGACCAGGGCCAGAAGCCAATGTTCCCCATCATCTATGGACCTGCAGCAGGGATGGTGCCGGCTTCACAATAACTTGGGTCTAACTGGGAATTAGTGTAGATATCAGACCTTCCCAGCACCCCAGGCAGAGCCCATAAGTCCCAACTAAGGGGACAGCAGAGTCTTTAACACCATTCCAGGCCTTCCCACTGCCTGACCAGCAGTGAAACACACTGCCTGTCTCTCAGGAGCCAAACACTCCATTTCTTATCAATTTGAGCAGTTTCTCTGCCTGTAAAGTTTTCCCTTGTCTTTTGCTAGGGATTGAACCCTGCGCCTTTCCCTGAGCTACAGCCCCAGGCCCCTTCTTAGTCTTTATCTTGGGACCAGGTCTTGCTAAGTCACGACGCTGCCCAGGCTGGGCTTGACCTTGTCATTCTCCTGCCTCAGCTTCCCTGAGAGCTGGTGCACCACATTTTTGATCCAGCAGACCTCTTGGACCTACTGTGTGCTCAGGGTGAGGGCTGCTCCTGAAGGAAGAGTGAGATACACAGCCACTGCTGGGAGGGCTCTGAGCCAACGCCAGGCGCGCCGGGTCAGGCCAGGACACACAGCCACACCAACAGGGGGGAAACCAAGGTAGAGCAGCTGCCCCACGGGGGTCAGGACAGGAGGGACAGTGAACATTAACATCTCCAAACAAGCCATCTGGGGGAGAGGGAGGAGTTCCACAGACCGCAAGGTCCTCGCTTACCTTAGGCTGGGCCTTCTGGGTCTGTAACCTGGCGCCCTCTCCTACATCTCTAGGAGTGGATCTGAGTACAAGGGAAAGCCTGTCCTCTGTCTGAAAAGTACATGGGGCTGTAGATGTGCTCAGGGGTTCTAAAAAGTTGTGCTGGGCACGGCAGCGCACACTTGTAATCCCAGCACTCAAGAGGCTGAGACAGGCGGGTCACGAGCTCAGGCCAGCTGGGTTACATAGGGAGATTGTGTTTAAAAAAAAAAAAGTTGCCTCGAGTGGGGTGGGGGACGTTGGCACCGGGTGTCCAGGCGAGCTTGGCGCCTTCCTAGCTATTGGACAAAGAACCCAGCTGCTCACTTCGTTGACACCACTGTGGCACCCCAGCCACAGCTACCGGGAGGAGCAGGCTCCTGCCCGCCCCTCTGCGGGCGCTGGCGCTGCTTCCTGCACTTTCTCCCCCGGGCAGGGCCTTCTCCTCCGTCTCCTCGGGTGCACGCCCGGGAGGAGCCCCCAGGAGCACCCAGGGCTGGGTGGAGCAGAAGCGAGGTAAGGCCCCGGGCTGCGAGTCCACGGCTGGGCACCACCTGCTGCACGCGCGCTGTCCGCTCGCAGCTCCTCCATCTGCCTGTGCTCCCGCCCTCGCTCTCCGCCCCTCTCTCGCCTGAGGGGCAGCTGCTGGTCCGGGCCGTTCTGCCCGCGTCCTCCTACACGATCCACCTGCCTGTCCTGCCCGGGCAGCCTGGGGCCCCTGCGGCGATGCGCAGTTAGCTCCACGTGCGGAATGCCCCGGAGTTTGGACGCAGAAGACAACTCGGGTCCCATCTGGGTCCCGGCTCCGGGCGTGTGGGGCGGGGAAGGCGGGAAGCAAGTGCGGACGTCAACTTCCCCTAAGAAATCGCCCCCACGCGCTCCCCTAAGGCTCACTTTAGGGGTGCAGGGAGAGGAGAGGACCCAGGTCAGGGCTGTGGGGGGAAAAGCGGGGAGCTCACGGTTTGGAGGACCCCACCCCCGCGCGCCCGGGCTGTGCACAGCGACAGTGCCGGTGCAGATACGGCGCCACCCGCCCCGGACAAACTTTCCCAGACCCGTGCCCGCGGCGTCCCGGATACCTGGGTCCCGAGGTCACAGCGTCCGTGCGCCGGGGCCGCACCCCTGCTCGCTGGCCTGCACCTGGCGGCCCTTGCTCTCCTGGCGCCAGCCCAGGTCCCGCCCTGGCTCCTGGGCGAGGCGGGTGGGGCGTCTCTGGGAGGAGCCGAGGGCCCAGGGCACAGAGCCCCAGCACGCGCGGTGTCGGACCGCGCCGCCCAGGCCTAGGGCAGCCCCAAGCCCAGGGCCTGGAAACCTGCAGGAAGGGGGCGGGACCTGCCCAGTGCCCGCCTGGGGTCTGCCCCTCCTGTACCCCGGGGCTCCCAGACTGGAGGGTGCTGGGCCTGGCCTCCGGCCAGCTGGTGCACAGGGACAAAAGGTGAAAGGACAGAGGCTCCAAGGACCGGACTGAGGTGCTGAAGGAACAGGTTGTACCTACTTCCCGCTGCCACCCACTGGGCCAGAAGACCTGGGGAAATTCCCGCTGCCAGAGCTGGGCAGGAGGTGGGCACACCTCTGCCCCTCCCGTGGCCTTCTCTCTGTCCTTTTGCCTGGCCAGCAGCAGAGGCCTGAGACCATCGCGTACCCGGGCTGTCCGTTCACCTCCCTGAGCTCGGGCGAGTGGGCTGCAGCGTGGTAACTGGGAGCCCTGCGGACTGGTCAGCAGAAGGTGCTGGGTGCCTTCCGGTGTGAGGGCTTCTGTGCCCATGCATGAGTGTGTGTGTGTGCCAGGGCACACACCTTTGCTCGTCCTCTCCCAGCTAAGTTCTCAAGCAAACAAGCAGCTGCCCTCTGCCAACCAGAGCTCTGCCAGGGCGCCTGGCACAGGTGGAGGCTGAGCTTGGCTCAGAGCCGAAGTCAGCGCGGCCCGGGCGAGTCCTTCACTTTCTCCTCCACTGCTGCCACCGCTGCGCCCTCTGAGACAGGGTCAGGAGGCCCCCAGGGCAGGAGGGGGTGTGCTTCCTGGAACCTTTTCATGCCTGGGCATCAATGGACTGGGAGGCAGAAGAGGGCATGAGGGCTCTCCGGGGCCACGCTGCACGCTGGGCACCCTCTTCCAGCTCCCAAGGCAAGCAGAGAAGCCAGTGTCTGCCCGAAGCCTCGCCCACTGGAGGCCCCGGGTATCAGAGGGGAGGTGGCCAGTGGCTCAGGGATGTGCGCTGACGCAGCTCGGCCAAGCCCCTGCCGCTGGGTAGCAGAGAAGCCCATCCCTGAGCTTAGTGGCTCCACCTAACAGGGCCACGAGACACTGAATGGGCAGGGTAGGCACCATGATGGGGCCTCAGGGGTCAGGGCAGGGGCATGGGAGGACAGAAAAGCGACGGAGACCACACGGAGCGCAATCTGGAGAGAGTGTGTTGGCTTTGGTCACCTGCATCACAATGAGAAGAGGGAGGCCCAGAGAGGGGAGGTGACCTACCCAAGGTCACCCAGCATCAGGACATTAGCAGCAGTCAGACCCAGGGCAGGGTTGGGTGCTGCGCCATCTGAATGCAAACCGGAGCTGGGAGAGGACCGGGGCTGCCCACGACCTGCGCCCAGAGCAACCACTTGTACTCCTGCCTTTCTGGGCCAGAAGGCAGAGGGCAAAATGGCCACGAGGGAGAGGACGTTGCACCCAGGGCCTCCCGCCAACCCGTGCATCCACGCAGGGGCGGGGTGTCCTATGGCTGCCCTCACACACTGGCACAAGGTGGCAGCTTCTAGCAGCAGAGCCACAGGTCACTGTCCTGGAGGCCACAAATCCAAAATGACAGGAAGCTTCACCGTGAGAATCTCCCTCCTTTACCAGGAATCTGCTTCCTGGAGCTCCGGTCCATCGTCCCTGCTCCTCTGTTGCCTGGGGACCAGAGCGCAGTTTCCTGCCAGGCCCAGCCAGTTGGGCCTAGGCATGGAATCCCGTCCCAGTCTTGGGGAACCCTCTTCCTCTGCTGAGCGGCCAGGCCACGGTTCCTTGTGGGCCCAGCCAGTCGGGCCTGACACGGTCTGGGGGAACTCTCTCCCTCACTTGGAACAACACTTCAACCTCGAAAATATAGGAAAATGACAAAACGAAAGACAAAAATGCAACATCAAACATCCAGCCCATCCCAGGAAAGCCTAGGAGCCACATGCATAGAAGAAAACACATTCCACATACCTGAAATACCTGAAATAATAGTAACTGAAATAAAGAAGCAACTCTGGGAAACCTTAAAGGAATTCAAACTAGAAATAATCTCTCAGGTAAAAGAAGAAATGATAAAAGAAATGAAGGAGATGCTGAACATATCTAACGAAGACACAGTTAAAAAATTGGAGGAACTAAACAAAAAGATAGAATCCCTGGATAAACAATATAAGAAACAAACAGAATACATAAAGCAGATGCAAACAGATATACAGGAAATCAAAAACTCCATTGAAAGTTGTAAAAACCGCCTCAATGAATATGAACATAGAATCTCAGACCTTGAAGCAAGATTGCAGCTAGAAAACAGGAAAGGAAAGATCTTTTAAAAATAACAAGAAATCAGGAAATAACAATTCAACACCTGCAAGATGATGCAAAGCGGAACAACATAAGGTTGATAGGGATAAATGAAAAAGAAGGGGACAACATAAAGGATGTCAAGAGGATATTTAGAGAAGTAATAGCTGAAAATTTCCCAAACATGAAATTAGAAACTGATATCAAGATTAATGAAGCATATAGAACTCCAAACACTCACAGCCAAATAAATCTACACCCAGACATATAATAATGAACATCCCAGAAATCACACAAAAGAATAGAATATTAAGAGCTGTCAGAGAGAAAAGACAGATCACCTATAAAGGAAAACCTAACAGAATCACAGCAGACTTCTCAGCACAAACAATAAAGTCAAGAAGAGCATGGAGTGAAGTATTTCAGACCCTAAAGGAAAATGATTTCCAACCTAGAATGATTTACCCTGCAAAACTGTCCTTCAAAATCAATGGAGAAATAAGATACTTCCATGACAAAGAACAGCTGAAAAACTTCATGATCACCAAGCCAACCCTGCAAAGAATACTGAAAGACAGCCTAGATACATTTAGGAAAAAAACCACTAAACAAAGCAGACAATTACACAGAGCAGAAAGATATAGATGCAACAGCAAAAAAATAACATTTCAACAACAAACCAATATATAACAGTTCTAACCATGAATGTAAATGGTCTCAATGCACCAATTAAAAGAAACAGACTGGCAGAATGGATCAAGAAACAGAATCCAACCATATGCTGTCTACAAGAAATGCATCTAACCCAAAATGATACAGTCTAAAAGTCAAAGGATGGAAAACAATACTTCATGCAACAGGAACCCAAAAAAAAGCAGGGTAGCTATTCTGTTTGCAGATAATCTGAATTTCAAACCAATAATGATCAGAAGAGATAAAGAAGGACACTACATGGGGCTAGGGATTTAGCTCAGTGGCATAAGCACCTGGCTTGGAAGCAGGCAGTCTTGAGTTCGATCCCCAGTACCCATAAAAACACACACACACACACACACACAAAGAAGGACACTACATACTGGCTAGGGTAAAACATCAAGAGGAAGAGATAACTATCTTAAATATATATGCACCAAACTCAGAGCACACTATTATATAAAACAAGTAATAACAGAAATGAAAAATCAAATTAGCAGCAACACAATTCTAACAGGAGATCTTAACACACCATTGACACCAATGGACAGAAAATCAACAAAGAAATAAAAGAACTGAATTGCACCTGTGAACAAATGGACTTAATAGACATATACAGAGTATATCACCCAACAACAACAGAATACACATTCTTCTCAGAATTACATGGATCATTCTCTAAAATAGACCATATATTAATTCACAGAACATATTTAAATAAAT